CTATGTCAAACCGTTTTGTTATATTTCAGTCTTCTGTGATGTATATAAAGTGGAATATTTGGATGCAAACTCAAAGTTGAATACATTTCAACTCTATATATTTAAGCCCATTACCATGTGTGTGAGGTGTATACTTTTGTTTCAAAGTAGATTTGTTTAAGACTACCAATAATCACTCTGTGTGACCCTGATTTAGCCCACTGCAGTTAAAGGTTAATATCTGCAAAGTAGTTAAAACGCTGTCAGTTCCACTTGAAATGAAAATAGAAATGAAGAGTTATCTTCCAAAATACGTTTTTAAATACTCTAAAAATCCAAGCAGGGAAACAGGGAATAACTTGAGCTCGAAATTACATTTTGAGATCTGATGAATATAAAAAGGGGGCATTGTTCAAGAAAACAAGTGAAGGTCAAATGGGAAAAAATTAAAATCTGTGACTTTCTGTCGACATCCTTTTGAAAACGTCTGTTCTCAGTGGACAGAGAGAGAGAGAGAGAGAGAGAGAAAGAAAACCCTGAACATGATTCTAATTCTCACTAATCAGACCAAACCAATACATTTTATTTTACACTTTTAAAGACAATATTAATTAACAGTACAATATTAATTAACAGTGTGTTCAATTAGACTCTCACAGACTATACCCACTCTTCACACTGGAGTGGAAGAAAATAATACGAAGAATGAGCCATCACTTATCTGTCTGATCCCCTTTCCCTTTCTCCTTCCCTCTGACACACACCAGACCAGTCAGAACTCTCTCTTTTCTTCTCTTTCTTCTCATCTCTCTCTCTCCGTCTCATTGCCCCATAACCACAGAGCCGAGTTCAAGCCACCATTAAAGCGTTAAAAATTTCAATACAAAAATCTAACGCACTTTTTAATTAAAAAGGATCCTAATAATCCACATCATATTATAGTGCGCAGATTCATCGGTCAATTTAATAAGAGTGAGGCTTTTGGATGTAATATCTCTGCTAGCAGGTTTCCTTTCATAACTGGGAGGCTTGCTTAATTACACTCTAGGCTAATGACGGGGAATATTCAGGGCCTCTCCATGTTTTGATAAATGGCTTTCCACTAAGATTTATTCCTAATTATCTCATTTGTCTTTCTCCATTACTTTTTATAGCTTAAATTTATGAAGTCATTAAAACGTTAGTGGGCCTGATAATGATTAGGAGAAGGAATTGTATGAAAGTGAATTATATGAAAATTATTATGGCTAAAGGAGTGTTTAAAATGAGGCAGCGGCGGAGGAAGTGTGCGCGCATGTGTGGGCGTTTGTGTGTGTGTCTGTGTGTGTGTTTGTGTGTGTAGGAAGTACAGATGGCTTTGTTATAAGGTGCAGGACGCTCCCACCTTACGCCAGCGGAAATAACCATGATTAAAACATATTTGTCACCCTCCTCTAGCCCTGTCTACCTATCTCTCCCTCCTTCTCCTTCCTCTAGCCGTCTACTTCTCTCTCCCTCCTTCCTCTAACACTGTCTCCATTCTCTCTATCCTCTGTTTTCATTCCTCCCCCTTCTCCCCCATTCTCTCTCCCCACTCCCCAGTGTCTCTGCTCTCTTTATCCTCTGTGCTCATCTCTCCCTCCTCACCCTTCTCTTCCCCTCTCTCCCTTCTGTCTCTCCAGTCCCCCCCAATCCCCCTCCCTCATGGTTCTGTTCTCTCTATCCTCATTGCTCATCTCTTTCCTCTCCCTCCCTCCCTCCCTCCCTTCACCCACCCACCCTCTCCTCTCTTCTCTCCCCCTTGTCTCTGTTCTCTCTATCCTACTACTCATCTCTATCACTCCCTGTCTGGCCATGCTGCTGACGGAAGTAATGTTCTCACCTCTCTTCCAGAGAATAGAGGATCTCTCTCTCTCGCTCTCGCTCTCGCTCTCGCTCTCGCTCTCGCTCTCGCTCTCTCGCTCTCTCTCAGAACAGGACTATTTTTACCCAGGCCCTTTTGTACTGCCGTCCGCGTTTGTTTAATTTCATTGGTCTTTGAAGATATAATGAAACACATAAATACAGACCCTTACATCTGTGTTCGGGGTTTTAGAATATTATTATGACGTTTTTACAGGGTGAGACAAGCTTGCAGGGTAATCTTTTAAATTAAGCCTTTTAGTCCAGAAACATAAAGGGCCTTGCAATATTCCATGCCCCTTACTCAAACGCATGCACACACACACACACACACACACACACACACACACACACACACACACACACACACACACACACACACACACACACACACACACACTCACGCCTCACAGTCTGGCATCCATTTCAAGCAGCCACCACCAGCCTGCTTTATCGCTTATCTAGTATAAATCTGTCTGTCCAGTTGTCATTCTAGTGCCTTCGCTTGAAGCCATTTTGTCCTTTCAGAGCTTTTTAAGGATTTGAAAATTAATTGAGTCCTTGGTGCTTGTACTCCATGCTACAGTGGTGGGATGTTAAATATACTTACTTGTTCACTCATCCTGCTCACAACCATTAGTCTCTCAAGGCCATATGAGACAACTTCATTGCAATTGAAAATAAAATTGCCTATTGAAAATAAAATACACTTTTAATTAAATTTCTTTATTAATGTCTTGAATTGACTACATTGAAATTAAATTAAATGAAATTGACCCCAGCACAGGTTTACATCATACACCAGAAGAAGGTCTTAACCCAACAGGTTCCATTAGGTTGTTATAGAAAGATAATTGGTAGTAGATCCAACATAGTTAAGCCCTTAGCCCAGACAGTGGGCTAATGGTTGAGTTTTGGGTCTCTCCCTATCTCTCCCACCCCTTCTCTACCCCATCTCTCTATCTCTCTCTTTCTCTATCCCACTCTCCCTCTCGCCTCTCTGTCTCCTTCCCCTTCTATTCCTCCCTTGCTCTCTCTGCGAGCCAGATCATAGGAGGCTGTGTAAGCCTGTGGTTAATTAATTATTTGATTATTTAATCAGCCCAGATGAAGAGCATCTTTAACACCAGTGGAAATTAGGAAACATCTGGGGCAGTGAGCGGGCAAGCCACACACAGAGAGAGAGAGAGAGAGAGAGAGAGAGAGAGAGAGAGGGAGATGTAGAGAGAGGGATACAGAGAGAGATGGAATACCAAAACAGGGGCTGGAAACATTCACTGTTCTCTCTCTCCCCAGCTGTCACTGTCTCTCCGTCTATCCCTCCATTAACCCTCTCTTACCATCCATCTCTATATTCATCCATCCCTCCCTCCATCCCTCCCTCCCACCCTCTCTTTATCCCCTCTCTCCCTCTATCTTTTTCTCTCTCATTCTTTCACTCTCTGTAGTGTAATGCCAGTGTAGCCCATCAGGGGGATACGTGTGTATAATAGGTTGGTTTCAGTGTAGGAGCTAACAGACAACCTTCGACATTGTCCCAATAATACAAGCAGGAGAATAGCTATGCACTGTATACACTACCAATATACTGTATACTCTGGATATCCATACAATATCAACCAGTTTTAATGGACAAAAAAGTATTATATTCTAATATGACCTGATTGAATACAGCGCTTTTCTTTTCTCTGTCATCAAACCAGTGGAGCCCCATGTTCTGTTTTTCTCTTATCATTCACACCTGAAGGTCAGAACACTGACCGCTATGACAACTCCTTCTTTGAGAGAGAGCGCGATAGAGAGAGGGCGAGAGTGGGGGGGAAGAGAGAAGAGAGCGAGAGAGAGAGAGAGAGAGAGAGCGATAGAGAGAGGGCGAGAGTGGGGGGAAGAGAGAAGAGAGCAAGAGAGAGAGAGAGAGAGAGAGAGAGAGAGAGAGAGAGGAGGGGGTATAACGGGTATTTGTAGAACTCCTCTCTGATTAAGACGTCTCCAGTCCAGTCGCGATCCTTCACACCCGTAGCACGATGAACCGAGGGATGAGGGGGAAGAGAGGAGGTGGAAGGGATGGAGGGAAGGAGGGAGAGATTCCCTTTAATTGCAATCATCCTGAGCAGCTCTGTGTCGTGCTGGCAGCAGCACTGCAGGGTTCCACACACCATGCATAAAATTAACACAGGAGAGGGGGGGAGTAGGGGGGGGGCACATAATTCGGCCTTCTCCCTCTCTCCAGTCACGCAATCCTACCATGTGCATGTCTCCTACAACGTGTGTGTGTCCTACAGCTTGTGTGTATCTCCTTCAGTGTGTGTATGACTCCTTTAGTGTGTGTGTGTGTCTCCTTCAGTGTGTGAGGCCATTGGTCCTGGTTTTACTCCAACACTAAACACACATATTCCATGTGCATACTCTCATTTTTGGCCCTTAGTTTTATATCTCCAGTATGTGATTGTACATACAATATAAAAAATATAAACGCAACATGCGATTCAAGGGCTTTCAAAGGCACTTAAATATTATGTCTTGCCCATTCACCATCTGAATGGCACACATACACAATCCATGTTTCAATTGTCTCAAGGCTTAAAAATGTATCTTTACCTGTCTCCTCCCCTTCATCTACACTGATTGAAGTGACTTAACAAGTGACATCAATAAGGGATCATAGCTTTCACCTGGATTCACCTGGTCAGTCTGTGTCATGGAAAGAGCAGGTGTTCCTAATGTTTGGTGCACTCAGTGTATGTGTCTGTGTTGGCAGTGTGTTCTCTCCATGATGTCTTCATATTGTGTCTACATTTTGTGTCTGTGTTGGTAGTGTGTTGTATCAGTGTTGCCAGTGTGTTGTGTCTTTGTTGGCAGTGTGTTGCCAGTCATTTGTGTCTTTGTTGGCAGTGTGTTGTATCAGCGTTGCCAGTGTGTTGTATCAGTGTTGCCAGTGTGTTGTGTCTTTGTTGGTAGTGTGTTGTATCAGTGTTGCCAGTGTGTTGTGTCTTTGTTGGCAGTGTGTTGTGTTTTGTTGACAGTGTGTTGTATCAGCGTTGTCAGTGTATTGTATCATTGTTGCCAGTATGTTGTGTCTGTTGGCAGTGTGTTGTATCAGTGTTGCCAGTGTGTTGTGTCTTTGTTGGCAGTGTGTTGTATCAGTGTTGCCAGTGTGTTGTGTCTTTGTTGGCAGTGTGTTGTATCAGTGTTGCCAGTGTGTTGTGTCTTTGTTGGTAGTGTGTTGTATCAGTGTTGCCAGTGTGTTGTGTCTTTGTTGGCAGTGTGTTGTGTTTTGTTGACAGTGTGTTGTGTCTTTGTTGGCAGTGTGTTGTATCAGTGTTGCCAGTGTGTTGTGTCTTTGTTGGCAGTGTGTTGTGTCTGTGTTCCAGTGTGTTGTGTCTTTGTTGGCAGTGTGTTGTATAAGGGTTGGCAGTGTGTTGTGTCTTTGTTGGCAGTGTGTTGTGTCTCTGTTAGCAGTGTGTTGTGTCAGTGTTGCCAGTGTGTTGTGTCTTTGTTGGCAGTGTGTTGTATCAGTGTTGCCAGTGTTTTGTGTCTTTGTTGGTAGTGTGTTGTATCAGTGTTGCCAGTGTGTTGTGTCTTTGTTGGCAGTGTGTTGTGTCTCTGTTAGCAGTGTGTTGTATCAGTGTTGCCAGTGTGTTGTGTCTTTGTTGGTAGTGTGTTGTATCAGTGTTGCCAGTATGTTGTGTCTTTGTTGGCAGTGTGTTGTGTCTTTGTTGGCAGTGTGTTGTATCAGTGTTGCCAGTGTGTTGTGTTTTTGTTGGCAGTGTGTTGTATCAGTGTTGCCAGTGTGTTGTGTCTGTGTAGGCAGTGTGTTGTATCAGTGTTGCCAGTGTGTTGTGTCTTTGTTGGCAGTGTGTTGTATCAGTGTTGCCAGTGTATTGTGTCTTTTTTGGCACACACACTCTCACACTTTAGCTGCCTGCTCTGTAATCAAGCAATGATGATGATCCTCTGTTCCGCTGTTTAGACTTCCTGTCTCTCTGAAAACAAACACACACATGCACGCACAATGTACTCTGGGCCGCTACTCTGTCATTTACCGCCTTTCATATATGAGCAGGGTTATTCTGCTATACAATGGAAAGCATCCAAATCCCTCACCTATTTCAGAGTGTTCTCTCTCTCACCTACTGCTGCTAGACCCCCTACACACAACCATCCATCTACACACTACACACTATCCATTGCCCAACACACTACACTCCCCCTACACACTACCCTACACACTACACTCCCCCTACACACTACCCTACACACTACACTCCCCCTACACACTACTCTACACACTACACTCCCCCTACACACTACCCCACACACTACACTCCCCCTACACACTACTACACTCCCCCCCTACACACTACCCTACACATTACACTCCCCCTACACACTACCCTACAAACTACACTCCCCCTACACACTACCCTACACACTACACTCCCCCTACACACTACCCTACACACTACACTCCCCCTACACACTACCCTACACACTACACACTACCCTACACACTACACTCCCCCTACACACTACCCTACACACTACACTCCCCTACACACTCCCCTACACAATACACTCCCCTACACACTCCCCTACACACTACACTCCCCCTACACACTACCCTACACAATACACTCCCCTACACATTCCCCAACACACTACATTCCCCCTACACATTGCCCTACACACTACATTCCCCCTACACATTGCCCTACACACTACACTCCAGGCCCAAACACACCTGGAACACGACTATCAGAGATGCAATTGTTTAGGACTCTCAGACATGCATGTATCTCTGACAGTATAAGACACAATATTTTCTTTCCTTAAATACAGCCAAATGGTTGTATCAGTGTAACAGTGGCTTGATGTGTGCAGGTCCTTGGACACACATACATCTGGGCCCAACTTACTATTATATGAACCGTCCACACAAAGTTACAATTAAGATTGAAAGGGCTTAAAGAAGCAGGATATTAGCGCTGTAAAAACGAGGGAGCGCTTTAGTCTAAACGGATGATCTCCCTCGCTGGGTTTGCTCTCCGTCTCTCCCTTGTTTTTCTCCCTTTTTCTCTGGAAAGGTTAATGGTCAGAGGCCCTCCTGGAGACACACAAGTCATCTCTCCTTTAATTGCCTTTTCTCATCCTTCCCTTTCTCCACTGGGGTCAGCCAGACAGAGGGATCCGTCTGCAACACACACACACTCCCCCACGTCACTGAGGCACTCAGGCTGAACTGAGGACTGGAGGCAAGGGTGGTGGGGGGGAGATGTAGACCTGTGTGTGTGTGCGCATGTGCGTGCGTGTCAGCGTGTGTGTGCGGCACTTCAAGTGTCTGCGCTCACACACACTCTCTCATTAGAAGCAGAGGGGTACTGTAGTGTACCTGTGTTGAGCTGTGGTGATCACCAGGCCTCAGTGAAGCACACATCCATGAAACAGCTAGCTGACACCAGCACAGCTATACTCACTGTTTCTTTAGGAGATTATTATATTAGCTGGGATCACAAGCCAGGACATGTAGCTTCTGAAATCATATAGAAAATTAGAAAATAGGACTTGTATTAAAGTTCTCCAATGTTGCTGGTCTTGGGCTGCTTTATTTGCCTCAGGCCATCACAATCAGTGTGCACAGTAGAACACCATTAGAAGTTCTGCAATTGGATTTGTGGAAAAGCTGTATCTGCACAACTTTTAACTTTTATGGTTGACCTTGGAACATGCAATTTTATGAACTGATGAAAAGAAATGGTTTCATGCTTTTCATATGAAGGGTTTTCATTTATAGGCTACTCTGTTCTCCCATCTGACTAATAATGAATATACTGAATAGTGAATAAAAATGAAATAGTGAATACATGTAACATCTTTCCAGAGAATAATCCAAGATATGTCAATTTCTCAATTTATAGTCATGCTTTCTTTAATCTCTTAGAAATTGTAAAGACATTCTAAAAAAAAAAATAATAATTACCATTCTAAACTTCTGAAAGTGACATAAAAGCATCTTAATGATCTCTTCACCAGTCAAATGATTATCTGGTGTAGATTGGCAGCAGAAGACTGTGTGATATGAACTCCTCACAGTGCTAGCGTTAGTCTGGCTGTGTGGGTGAAGCATAGAATCAGAACGAGTAGAATCAACATCCCCATTCAAAGCAGTTCTCTGTAGACTGATGGACTGTCTATTCTACTCATTCTAACTCTATGAGGCCATTTGAGTCAAAGCTCTGGGTGTGAGAGGAGATCATTAGGAACTGTCGGCAGAGCAGACGAGCTGTGTGTTATCTCACATCTAAAACACTATGGCTGAGAAAGCGATGGAGAAAATTGAGAGATAGAGCAAAAGTGTGTGTGCGCGCGAGAGAAATAGAGATAATGGAAAGAGAGAGAGAGAGAGAGGGGGGGGGGGGGGGGAGAGAGGGATATAGTGGAGAGAGAGAGGAGGGAGGGAGAGAGAGAAAAGAGATTTGAGAAAAGGTTAATTCCCATCTGACAGGAAGAGATTGGTCATAAAGATGTCTCCAGTCTACTTCATTCTGTTTGGGAAGGACAGGTCTGGCTTCATAGAGCCATTGGAAAAGTAGCACTTTCTTACAGTAACTTCCAAATAGCAAGCTAAAAGAAAATATTACTATTCAAAATCATCAGTATATATTTTATGAAGATGCTTCCTGGCTGGATATGTGCAATAATTCACAGAATGGCTGGTGTTGTGCAATGGGGTCAGTATATAGATGAAATATGGCTGACCTTCTTAAGCAGGAGTGGCCAGCGTTAGTCTGTGTGTCCCCAAGCAGAGGCTTTCCTAACCACGCCACCACCACTGCTGGCTGCAAACCCTCAAACCTTCTTAGCCCGTCACTGAGGGGATTTTTCCTCCACTTTACAATGTGCTGGGTTTCACCGGTGCCCTATATAACTGAATATCATATATAATACAGTGTAGCTCAGTTGGTAGAGCATGGCGCTTGCAACGCCAGGGTTGTGGGTTCGATTCCCACGGGGGACCAGTATGAAAAATGTATGCACTCACTAACTGTAAGTCGCTCTGGATAAGAGCGTCTGCTAAATGACTAAAATGTAAATGTAATAGTGCAATGATATTCTGCTCTGGAGCCCAGCTCCGGCCAGTCAGCCATTTCCTCCTCCTCCGCCCGTTGACTAGGCAGCACAGCACAGAGGAAAGGGAGCTGTGGAACAGCTAGGAATACAGGTGGTACAACCAGGTGGTGATGTTCTGTATGTGTGTCTTAACATAATCACAGATAGTAAGCACCTCCATTGGCCCAAAAGAGAAACATTTGCTGTGCCTTGTTTGCCATTCAGCTGCAAAGCTACAAGGAACAATTCGTAGGTAATCCAATGGAGAATATTAATGCCAAGTTCAATGTTTAGAAATCACTACATTGGCATGGATTTCGAAGTATGCACACTTTGCAATAAAATCTAAGAGCGTTTTAGTTCTAGCCACATACACAGGTGTGAGGAGAACAGGATTAGGGAAAATCCCAGTTCTCAGGAACATGTACAGCCATGCACCACCATTTTGTTCCCTTCTCTGTTCTGTTACACAAGACTGTAACACATCACGATGTGGATTTATGGCACATTTAAGTCCTCCTTTAATATAAAGTGCATGTAGTATGGAACTGTTGGACAGCAAGCTACAGTAGGCTTTATGTTTCAGGATTGTCATTTTTTGTTATTTTACAGTAAGGAGCGAAGCGTGAATGAAATAAGTGGTTAAAGTTCTGAGCTTTACAGAAAGCTATGAAAATAAACTTTCAACAAGAAGAGATGAAATGGATGTTGCTCTTTCATTGTGGTTTTAAAAGGAGAGAGAGAAGTGATGTAAACACAGTGTTGTGATTTTGGCCTTTTATAGGAGACTTGTGATGTTCTCACTTTTACTCTGTTTGAAATGTTTCTGTTTTGCTGAACTGGACGGGTGACAGCAGGTGGGCAACAACGCAACAGCAACAGTCGCTATGGAACAGGGTTCTGACATTTCCACTGTGATCAATGCGTTATGACCCAAACAGGACAGGGCTCACTTCTCTCCCTCCCACCCTCCTCACCCCTCCTTTCTCCCCCACCTTCTCCTCACCCCTATTACAAGTTGTCTGTGAAGAGATTTGAACACATTCGCGTTATACGCCTACCCATCCACCTCGACCAACCACCCTCCTTAGTTTTTTCCTTATGTAACATTCTGTCCTATGTAACCATACCAAACATAACTAATTTGATCTAGTCCATGAGACCAGGCTGCTCATCCCCTAATCCCCTCCTCTCTCATCCCCTCCCTCCTCAGTTTGGTTGCTTTCTCTCTAATAAGGCTAGAGGATGGAGCTGTTTTTTTTCTAGAGAATCTATTTCACTCATGGACACAATACCAGGAGCTGTGTTCAGCATGTCAATACAATGGAACTTTGTCTGTGTGATCACTTTCAATGCTAAATGTCTAATTTGACCTTTATGTTAATTTTACATTTATGATGCATTCCCTCACCAAGTGGCCAAACTCAAGTCTTTATATTGACGATTTTAAATGGCAGCATATGTCTCTAAATCATGAGAGAATAAACTGTGAAATGGACAGGATTCTGTGTGAGACCCAACTGGAGGACTGGCAGAAACCTGAGAGACCAGAGAGATGTTGACTTGTGACCTGTGTGTGTGTGTGTGTGTGTGTGCAGAGGGAACACCATGATCATTTCCACTCAGGCACACAGTCACACAGTCATACAGCTAGCTAGCGTAGGCTACATTACTAACTTCATCACAGGCTGTTGGTGTGTCTGAGTGGAAGTGATCATGGTGTTGCCTCTGCACACACACACACACACACACACACACACACACACACACACACACACGCACACACACACACACACACACACACACACACACACACACTGCTCTGCTCTCAGATCCAGTCATCTACCTCAGGGTGTGTGTGTGTGTGTGTGTGTGTGTGTGTGAGGACAAGGCCCTGGTCTGTGCTGGCTGTTTACCTAAAGTGGCATGAGTCAGCAAGACTCGAACAGGAGCCTGTTTTTGCACAGCCTGCCAACCGCCCGTCTGACATTTAGCTCACAAACACAGAAACACACACAGTCCGCAGGTCAACATCTCTCTGCACTAGCAGTCTTTTTGCTTTCTGTCTTTTTAGTGTTTTCAACAAGGCACTAAATACATATAACCATTTTTAGGTTTCAGATCAAAATTAAAGCAGCTACAGTAGCACTATGAGTTCCATCAGGGGAGGGTTAAGAGAATAGACCAAGCTAGAGACAAAGTGAGTGCTGTGAAGCAGTTGACTGCTCTCTAGAGAGCTCAGTTCTATGGTTGTATGTGATGATGATGCACTGTAAACCCCAATGTGCTGCCATTACTCAATACTTTTGAGGAAACCCATTATACTATAGTGCATTCGGAAAGTATTCAGACCCCTTTACTTTTTCCACATTTGTAACGTTATAGCCTTATTCTAAAATTGATTAAATAGTTTTTTCCCCTCATCAATCTACAAACAATACCCCATAATGACAAAGCAAAAACAGGTTTGTAGAAAGTTTTGCAAATGTATAAAAAAATAAATAATGAAATATCACATTTACATAAGTATTCAGACCCTTTACTCAGTACTTTGTTGAAGCACCTTTGGCAGCGATTACAGCCTCAAGTCTTCTTGGGTATGACAAGCTTGGCACACCTGTATTTGGGGAGTTTCTCCCATTCTTCTCTGCAGATCCTCTCAAGCTCTGTCAGGTTGGATGGGGAGTGTTGCTGCACAGCTATTTTCAGGTCTCTCCAGAGATGTTCGATCGGGTTCAGGTCCGGGCTCTGGCTGGGCCACTCAAGGACATTCAGAGACTTGTCCCGAAGCCACTCCTGTGTTGTCTTGGCATTCAGTCCAAAGAGTTCAATCTTTGTTTCATCAGACCAGAGAATCTTGTTTCTCATGGTCTGAGAGTCCTTTAGGTGCCTTTTGGCAAACTCCATCTGGCCACTCTACCATAAAGGCCTGATTGGTGGAGTGCTGCAGAGATGGTTGTCCTTCTGGAAGGTTCTCCCATCTCCACAGAGGAACTCTGGAGCTCTGTCAGAGTGAGCATCGGGTGTTTGGTCACCTTCCTGACCAAGGCCCTTCTCTCCCGATTGCTCAGTTTGGAGGGCGGCCAGCTCTAGGAAGAGTCTTGGTGTTTCCAAACTTCTTCCATTTAAGAATGATGGAGGCCACTGTGTTCTTGGGGACCTTCAATGCTGTAGACATTTTTTGGTATCCTTCCCCAGATCTGTGCCTTGACACAATCCTGTCTCAGAGCTCTACGGACAATTCCTTCGACCTCATGTCAACTGTGGGACCTTATATAGACAGGTGTGTGCCTTTCCAAATCATGTCCAATCAATTGAATTTACCACAGGTGGACTCCAATCAAGTTGTAGAAACATCTCAAGGATGATCAATGGAAACAGGATGCACCTGAGCTCAATTTCGAGTCTCATAGCAAAGGGTCTGAATACTTATGTAAAGAAGGTATTTCTGTTTTTTATTTTTTATAAATTTGCAAAAATGTCAAAAAAACCTGTTTTCACTTTGTCATTATGGGAAATTGTGTTTAGATTGATGAGGAAAAACATTAATTTAATCAATTTTAGAATAAGGCTGTAATGTAACAAAATGTGGAAAATGGGAAGGGGTCTGAATACTTTCCGAATGCACTGTATCTGAGTACAGTTACTTAAAGTGATTTTGTAGTCATTACTCAAACCGATAGTCACAGTGACTCTTTTCGAGTGAATTGTAGAATACCACCCATTACTTTATTTATTAGTGACAGAGACATGGTTGTTGAATTAATTCATTTTTAGTCCTGTGGCCTTCACCAACTGAGTTCCTAGGCGAACGTTATCATTATAATTAAACTCTTTATGACAATATATTACATGTCTCAAAAGGCCTTATTTTGAAGCTTTACCCTAATACAGAGGCTTGAAAAGCATGGTTTACAGGCCACATCAGCTCTGCAAGTAGGGTTGCAAAATTCCGGTAACTTTCCCCAAATTCCCAGATTTAAAAGAAATCATGCTTGAAGGATTGCCAGGAATCTTCCAACCGGGATTTTTGGAAAACCTGGGAAATTTACCCAAAATGTTTTTACCCTACCTGCAAGTCACAATATGCTGGCTTGCAAAATGATGTGTAATTCCTATTGGAATCCAGCCAGAGTTAGAATATCTAACATTTGACATTTTAATTATCCCGTGACCAGCATTCATAATGACTGCCAGGGTTAGGAACAGTGTGAAAAGACTACTTAAGGCATTTAAAGTGGAACAACCATTTCAGTAACGGGTGCACAAAATCTATCTAAATTATTGGATTAGTTTAGAAAAATGTATGTTATTTATCTTTGTGTAGCATAAGATTAATCAATCAATCACTCAATGTGCATGCAAAAACACGGATATTACAGTTTTTTCCAACTGCTTACACAAAATCTTTTCATGTCACACGATTTTTGAAACCTCTCACTCAAAGTGCAAAACTACACACAAAATCTCCAAAACCATAAGCTATTTCTCAGCCTTTGACTCAGTTGTCAATTGCATAAAACACTTTTTTCAAAACACTACACACAATTCTCTACCTAAAACACAAAAATCTAACAGGAAGTGACTTGCTTTCCTTTTCCAAACACAACCAATCAAAATGCTACTCTTATTCACCAGGTCAAACACACTCTCCTCTCATGTTCAAACACTAATTGCTTAACTGATCACTAACCAATCACTGCTTTACTGTAGTATAGGACTGTTTTGAACAATGGATGCCAACAATGGACAGAGAGCAAGAGGAGTAGGAGGGAGAGGCAGGGGACAACAACGAGGACAAATTCAAAGACGAATAGTTGGAAGAGGAGGAGTAGGAGGTAGAGGAAGAGGAAGAGGAAGAGGAAGAGGAAGAGGAAGAGGAAGAAGAGGACGAGGGCAAAGAAGAGAAGGAAGGAGAGCCATCTCTGATGAGATTAGGGCAACACTTGTTGATCATGTGATCAACCACGGTTTGACCATGAGAGAGGCTGGACTGAGAGTCCAGCCCAACTTGAGTCGATTTACAGTGGCGTCCATAATTCGAACCTTCAGAAATGAGAACAGGTATGCAACTATCTAATTACTATTTTAGCATTACAGTAATGTACTGTAAAATACGTATGACTGCATAGTATTGCATAAACATTTGTAACTCTAAGCCATCCATTTACTGCACTGCATTGAATGAATGAGGTTGGTTATCATGCTGTACTACATTTTTGTGTACATTGTTTACAGTTCCTATGCTGAACACATACTGTGTTTGAATTCTGTACAGAGTGGAAAGGCAAAGACATCATGGAGGACGAGGACGCTTGTTTACAGATGTACAAGAGACTGCAATTATAATTATGGTTTTGGCCAACAATGCAGTTAGGATTCGAGAGATAAGAGAGCATATCTTGAATAATGACACCATATTTAACAACATCAATGCTGTAAGCCTGTCAACCATACAACGCATCCTCCAACGGCACCAAGTGATGATGAAACAACTTTACAAGGTGCCATTTGAGAGAAACTCTGACAGTCAAGAATCTGCGACATGACTTTGTAGAGGTATGTATGCAACACTACTTCCAGTACTTCAGACATACCATATTTACTCATCTGTATATCCTTTTGTCTGTTACAGAGAGTATTGGAGATGGATGCCCATGTAATTCGCCATGAATTTATTTATGTGGATGAGATTGGCTTCAACCTCACCAAAACGGTATGCACGCACGACTGTAAGTCGCTTTGGATAAAAGCGTCTGCTAAATGGCATATTATTTATTATTATTTTATTATAAAACCAGGCTCCGCGGAAGAAATGTAATAGGACAGAGGGCAATTACCAATGTCCCTGGACAGCGTGGGGGTAATATAACTATGTGTGTTGCCAACACTCAAAACGGGGTCCTCCATCACAACACCGGCCATATGCTCACTTTTCTGGATCAATTTACACAATGCTTGTCCCTGATCCAGATCAGGAGCCTGCTAGATTTGTGGTTATATGGGACAATGTTAGTTTTCACCGGGCTGTTCTGGTCCAAAACTGGTTTGCCACCCATCCACAATTTGTAGTTTTGTACCTAACCCCATATTCACCTTTTCTAAATCCCATAGAGGAATTCTTCTCAGCCTGGCGCTGGAAAGTGTATGATCGCCAACCCTATGCCCGCATGCCGCATCTCCAGGCAATGGAGAACGCATGTGGGGACATAGAGGTTGCCTCTGTCCAAGGTTGGATACGCCATGCTAGGAGATACTTCCCTCGATGTTTGGCAAGAGAAAACGTATCTTGTGATGTGGATGAAGTATTGTGGCCAGACCCAGCCCGTAGAAGAGATGAAGCGTAGCTTAGCACTGGTGACTGCCCCCCCCCCCCCCCCCCCCCCCCGCCTACCAATTCCTGGACTGCCCCACCGGGACCCCACACACACAATTGTGTTCTTTACTGTATTCTAAAGAATATACTTTTGGTTTACATATGTTTATGGTTTTGTTGTATGCTACTGTATACAACAGTAATGTTTGGCCTAATAAATATGTTCTGTTTCTACATTGCATTGGTGTTTACAGTGAACTTGTTACCCCTCTCAGCAGATTGCGTTCACTGTAGAACATTGTATTGAAATGTAGATATAAGGCTATGAAAGATCAAAGAGCTTTAGATTTAGAACAACAGTGTTTACATGGTATATCCAAAAATTTACTATTATGAAAGAAGTGTTTGCCATTTGATGCAAATGCTTCATTCTGACATGTGTTTATGGCATTTTGAATGCAGTGTTACATTTTGAAGGAGATGTGAGGCATTTAGCATTTTGTGTGTGTGCAGTTTTGGGAATTGTGTGTAGTTTTGAAAAAAGGAGACATAGTTTTGAAAACGTGTGTAAGCAGTTAGAAAAAACTGTAAAAACAATTCAAAAACAGCTACCTACAGTAGAGCATGCTGGGAAAAAAGTGTATTTGATATTATAACTTTACTAGAAGTATTTGAGTTAAAAATCCCTTAGGGTTTAATGTGTGGTGGTGGTGGTGGTGGTGGTGGTGGGATGGATGCTAGCTGAAGGTTTGAAGGTGGGCTATGTGGCACAGGGGAGTGAGCTAGGGCTGAGATGTAAGCAGTCAGTCTGGAGTGAGTCTGGGGTGAGTCGGTTGGGGTTTGGGGGTACGGTATGAGACTTGTTGGAGGGGGTTTGAGGTGTGAGCATTCCCCCTCTCCCCTCGGAACCACGTTGTCAGGGTTACGAGTGGCCGGAGGGGCCTATAACGACGCCTATAAACCAGCGGGGTGCAGCGTCTCTGTTTCCCCCCTCTCTCTGTCTCCCCATTTCTCTCTCTCTCTCTCTCTCTCTCTCTCTCTCTCTCTCTCTCTCTCTCTCTCTCTCTCTCTCTCTCTCTCTCAATTCAATTCAAAGGGCTTTATTGGCATGGGAAAAAATGTTTACATTGCCAAAGCAAGTGAAATCGATAATAAACTAAATTTAAATAAACAATCAAAAATGAATAGTAAACATTACACTCACAAGTTTCAAAGGAATAGACACATTTGAAATGTATCTCTCTCTCTCTCTCTCTCTCTCTCTCTCTCTCTCTCTCTCTCTCTCTCTCTCTCTCTCTCTATGAGCCTTAATGACAGTCACAGCAGTAGCTAAACAGGAGGAAAGACATTGAGACAACATCCCAAAATCTTTTAGCAAACGTTATTCTTCCGGCGTCTCCCACCCAGCTAGATCAAAGTGTAGCCCTAAGTGGAACTATCTGCTCCATGCACCTCCCCTGTCTGCAACAGAATTTCTGAGCGAGAGAGGGAGACCTGAGTGCCAACTGTTTTGACTGTGTGTGTGTGTGTGTGTGTGTGTGTGTGTACTGAATGTAAGTATGGCAGTTAAATTATCATAAATAAGGACTCCTCCATCCAAATTTTCGTCTTTTAATTATTTTCTCCCCATCTCATGTTTGATGAAGTAAAAGCAGATGGGATGGATAGGGCATTTAATTACCCTGCACTGATGCTGCCTCACAACCAACAGACAGGGGAGGACCCCCCCCCTTCACTCACTCACAGACACATGCACGCACACACACTAACAATATAGAGTAAGAGTTGCGGTTCGGTTGTGTGGTAAAATGGTCTAATATGGTGATGGCCCATGCAGCGCCTCTTCTCCCTCAGGAGGCTGAAACCATTTGACATGGTTCCTCAGATCCTCAGGAACTTTTACAGCTGCACCATCGAGAGCATTCTGACTGGTTGCAGCACCGTCTGGTATGGCAACTGTACCGCCCTCGACCAGAAGGCTCTACATAGGGTGGGGCGGACGGCCAAGCGCATCACTAGGGGTGAGCTCCCAGCCATCCAGGAAGTACATGCCAGGCGGTGTCTGAGAAAGGCCCGAAAAATTGCCAAAGACTCCAGCACCCGATACATGGACTGTTCTCCATGCTCCCGTCCAGCAGACGTAACAAGTGCGTCAAGGCTCAGTCCAACAGACTCCTAAACAGCTTCAAATGAAATCAAATTAAATGTATTTGTCACATGCGTGGAATACCGTGAAATGCTTAATTACTAAATGGCTAACAACTACTGCTCTCCCTCTCCCACAGACTATCCACACTGACTCTATGCCCCATCCACAGGGCTCTACCCACATAGACACACACACCTTCACTGTCACTCTTACTCACACACACATACTCACATACGCACACTCACACACACTCATTACTGATGCCACACATTTACACCCACACACAAACCCTCTGAATGGCAGACATACACAATCCATGTCTCAATTGTCTCAAGCCTTAAAAATCCTACTTTAACCTCTACACTGATTGAAGTGGATTTAACAAGTGACATCAATAAGGGATCATAGCTTTCACCTGGATTCACCTGGTCAGTCTATGTCATGGAAAGAGCAGGTGTCCCTAATATGTTTCCTAATGTTTTGTACATTCAGTGTACATTTAAACAGGAGTAATAGTGACCAGTAGCAGGATGCATAGATAGCTACAAATGGGTAATGGCAATCAATAATCAATGAACAGCAGCGTAATGGAGTAGTACATCTAATCAGTAATTATTTTAGCAGAAGCGTAGGTGTGAGGGTGTGTGTGTGTGGGTGGGGGGTAAATGTGTGGCATCAATAATGAGTGTGCATATGTGAGTATGTGTGTGTGAGTAAGAGTGACAGTGAAGGTGTGTGTGTCTATGTGGGTAGAGCCCTGTGGATGGGCATAGAATCAGTGTGGATGGTCTGTGGGAGAGGGAGAGCAGTAGTTAGCCATTTAGTAAGTAAGCATTTCACGGTAAAGTCTACACCTGTTGTATTCGGCGCATGTCATTGAAGTGGATTTAACAAGTGACATCAATTAGGGATCATAGCTTTCACCTGGATTCACCTGGTCAGTCTATGTCATGGTAAGAGCAGGTGTTCCTAATGTTTTGTACACTTGTGTATATGGCAAGGTAAACGTTCCTGGATAAAAATAACAAAATTGCAAAGATGGAAAGACGTAGGAGGACTATCCGTACCAAACTTTAAATTGTATTTCCGGGCACTAACATTTCATCCCATCCTAAAGTGGTTTAGACATGATTCTTCTGCTCCCTGGCTGAGTATAGAGATACATTATTTATGTCCTATTGACCTGGAAGAAGTGGTCTTCACTGATATATCCCTTAAACAATGTAAACTACGCTTTGGTCCTATTATTGCTCACAAACTTTCTATTTGGCACAAAATTGAAAAACAATGTACCCTTGCCGATATCATGGACAGTAATGGTTTGAGAACAGGTCCCCTGTAGCTCAGTTGGTAGAGCATGGCGCTTGCAACGCCAGGGTTGTGGGTTCGTTTCCCACGGGGGGACAGTATGAAAAATGTATGCACTCACTAACTGTAAGTCGCTCTGGATAAGAGTGTCTGCTAAATGACTAATATGTAAATGTAACATTCCAAGATTACCAGGCAACACCTTTTTTTATTTATATTTTGGACGGAGACATTTTGGGGTGGGGGGAATGGGATGGGAAGTTGGTGGTGTAGGCCCACCTCTTTCTTTTTCTTTGCATACCAATTTTACTATTACAAAATCATTTTTGATCAATATGATCATTTCTCTGATATTGTACCTGTAAACCTCCAACAAAAAATTACAAAACAAATAAAAACGTGGTAAAAAAAATACAGAAATAAAGACATGGTTCCACATCAGACATGGTTCCACAGTAGATATGGTTCCACAGTAGACATGGTTCCACAGTAGACATGGTTCCACATCAGACATGGTTCCACATCAGACATGGTTCCACAGTAGACATGGTTCCACATCAGACATGGTTCCACAGTAGACATGGTTCCACAGTAGACATGGTTCCACATCAGACATGGTTCCACAGTAGACATGGTTCTACAGTAGACATGGTTCCACATCAGAGCGACTTACAGGTAGTGAGTGCATACATTACTATAATTTTTTATTTGTTTATTTTTCATACTGGCCCCCCGTGGGAATCAAACCCACAACCCTGGCATTGCAAACGCCATGCTCGGCCATTCCCTCCCCTACCCTGGACGACGCTGGGCCAATTGTGCGCCGCCCTATGGGTCTCCCGGTCGCGGCCGGCTACGACAGAGCCTGGATACGAACCAGGATCTCTAGTGGCACAGCTAGCACTGTGATGCAGTGCCTTAGACATGGTTCCACATCAGACATGGTTCCACAGTAGACATGGTTCCACAGCAGACATGGTTCCACAGCAGACATGGTTCCACATCAGACATGGTTCCACATCAGACATGGTTCCACATCAGACATGGTTCCTGTTGTTTACATCAAACATCCAACAACCATCTGTGCTCAGTCCACACATATACACCATCATATACTGTACCATCTGGCATGCATTGATGCACATACTGTAACTCTTTCTTGCGCTCTCCATTTCTCTCTTACTTTGTGTGAGTTTTTGTGTGAGTGTTTGTGTGCGTGCGCATGTGTGTGTGTTCTATAATACTGGTGTGGTTTGGATACAAGGTTTAGTGGGAGAGCAGTAAGGCAACATCTCTCTCTCTCTCTCGCTCGCTCTCTCGCTCTCTCTTTCTCTCATGTGGCTACAACATTTTTTTCTTTGTGGGGACAGTCTGGCACAAGTCCCACAACTCACTGACTCACCCAGCCACTAAGAAACAGATCTGCCTGCATCGCAACAATCAGTCTGTGTGTGCGTGAGTGCATGCTTGAGTGCGTGTGTGCGTGTCTTCTGCCCACAATCAATTAGTTCCACATAGTGGGGATTTTAAAGTCTCTGTGCCTCAGATAGAGAGCCAATAGTTATAGAGAATATTCAGTTCCATATGAAAAGAACAGCAACATCTGCCAACAAATTTAAAAACAGAAAAGCACTTTAAGAGTCAGAGGAAATGTCAAGGCATTTCTAGAAAGTGAAATAAATAGTTTAATATTCTACCATCCGCTTTAGCCAGTGTTTGAAGTGGAATGAAAAAGTGTCATGGTCTATTCTAGAAAAGCTGCTGGTACTCAAGCCGTCTCTTCTCTCTAACTTTTCGACAACTATTCACTGTGAAAATACAGTATGATTTGCACACACATGGATAAATATAATCTGCTGGCTCCTATGCTCTCTACTTTCTAAGTATATACAGCAGACAGAGAAATGGTTGAAAAAAAGAGCTTTGTCTGATGAAAAGCATAGATTTCAATACATCAATCCATTCCACGACTGATGCGAACCTGATTACAATGCCATAAAGGCCCTCTGTACTGCGAGCACTTCACGCTAAACCCTCTACATGCACACCAAGCAGAAGGTTATGTGATGTGTTGTTTTACAAAGCACAGTGTCACTACAGTGTCTAACCGTATTGTATGTATGTGCTCTCTGGCCATTGTTGCATTCCATTGACCTGCACATTAATAAAACACAGTATATCCTTTGCACTGCATCTCCCTGACTCCTGGAGAAAAAGGGAGAGCTGAATTTACAGAAGCCAAAAGCGAGTCACTCTTCATGTCAGGAGTATTAATTTATGATTTTCATCACAGCCTGTGACCCTGTCACCTCTATTAAAATGCAGCTTTTGTAATTTCATGGTTAATATTCAATAGCCACTTGTCCCCTAGAGGGGGTGTATGTCGTGCGTGTTTTCGTGTGTGTGTGTGCGTATGTGTGCGTGCCTGTGTACTAGGAAAGGGAAATGGGGGTCGTCACCAGAAAGGCTTCCTCCAAAAGAGTTGCAGATGTCCAGAGATGTTCTCTCTCTCGCTCTCTCTCCTCCTCCTCCTCACTGAGTATCTGAGCCCCAGTGTTGAATGGTCTCTCTGTGTGACCTGTAGGGGTGGCCTCCAGTGCTGCCTGTGGCCCGAGGCCAGACACTTACACACTGGCCTCGCTATCTCTGACCTCTACACACTGTGGGATGGACAGGCTGGGGAACTGACCTCTCAGCCACACATACTGTACACCGTACACACACAACACTCTTTACGTCTATTCACATCTGTGATTATCTATGTGGGTATAGTATACAGAGAGGGGGAGTGAGTAGGTGGGAGAGAGAGAGAGAGTGTCTGAGAGAGAAGCATGAGAGAGGGGGATAGAACGAGTGGAGAGAAAGCGAGGGGGGAGATCTCAAACAGAAAAAAGTCCCAGTGTTTCTCCACACATTGATGCATTGGCCCAAACAGGCATTCCTGTTCAACGACTTTGGCAGACCTTTAAAAAACATATTAAAGTGCTCTGTTCTGCATGAGCCCAGTTGTTGCTCTGTTTTCTCTACTAAGACAAGGAAGGGAGGTGTACAGAACTGTGCAAAGACATGGTTATGGGGAAAACAGGGAGAATAGATATGATATGAGGACATACTGTATCTGGACCATCAGAAAAGTGCTACCCAATATTGTAGTGCATGTACAGCTATAGATACTCAACAAACTGGTAAAAATCAGCAGATTTACTGGCCTATTAAAATTACACAATACTGTTTCAGTCATATACAGTATATTCCTGATTGGTTTCATTATTCCTGTGTCTGTTTTAAGGAGAATTCAGTCTGTTCAGAGCAGAGCCATTTAAGCACTGAGAGCCTTCACTGCACATCAACACCATCTGCTCTGTGTACAGGAGGCACCACCTCACACCGTCAATCAGAGAAAAACAGCTAAAAGTAGTCTTTGTTACTTTGGATGAGCACTTGTTGGACATAATAGTAGCAACATAGAGGGCATCCATACCTGATAAAAAAATAGGCACCATGGGTCACTTCTTACACAGTCATTTTATTACACATGGCACTGGGTAAACACTACACACATGTATTGGACATAATGATTGAATTGACTGCTTTCACCAGAGCAGGCTAACATTTTTATATCCATGAGATGTTTGAAGGCACATTTGATAAAATGTCAAAAAAGTTAAGAGAGATTGCACTGGAAATGTACTGTTAGGGAATGCAGAAAGTCACCGTTCATCTGGGCATTATCAAGTTGATTTATTTTCCAGTTGTCTCCTAACTATTTGAGTATATACACCACAACTTGACTACATTAGGTACTGTTCCTGTTTGATTCAGGATGCATCCAAAACAACAAACATAATTATGGCTTCATCTATCTCTCAAATTCACACTTCTGATTTCCAGTTTTTTCCATGAAAAACCTCTACATTGTTAGGGCAACATTGATTGGATGTACAATATGACGACGCATCTCTCTATACATAATTCATAATCAGGGATAAAATCTTAATGCAACAATTCAATCTTCCCTCAGTCACCGTGTAGAGGTACAGTAAAAGATAGATAGCCCTCTTATGAGAGATTCCTAGTATTCCAAGTAAGGCATGTCTTTCATTAGCAGGTACACCCAGTAAAACAAGTCTACATGCCCTTGGAATCAATCAAGCAAGATGCTAGTTTTATAAGCCAAACGATACCCTAAAACCAAGCTGAAAACCTTCTACAGAATATAGGATCCATAGATAAATATTTATCTACAACAAACCTGACGTAGCAGGCGTAAAATAAATGCCTGAAACTAGATCCCCTACATACTGGTCTTGATGAGAAGAAGAAAACGTTATGTTCTGCACTGTTCAACCAATCCAGTAAATGTGGAGGAGGAGTTAAGATGGAAAGTCGCCTTGTTAACGTCCAAAAGTGGAATTAGTATCACAGGCTCTCTTTCCATTTTCCCTGAAAACCGGAACATCTGGTTGTTTGGGACTCGGCAGAGGCTAAGCTACAAAAAATAATTTCTTTGTTATGAGAGGACCCACACAGTTTAGCGAGGTCATGTGAGGATCCACAGGGTATTCAATATAAACACATGATTTTAAAAAGTACATATCTTATCAGTTGCTGGGCAGAAAGGGGTATGTGTTGGAGTGTTTGAGTTTGCAGGACCTATTATATATCATATAACTAATATACGTACCATTCAAAATACTTAGCATAATATCCCCAGATATTTAAGTCTGGGAATAAAATTACATTTTGAACAACTACTGCTTTACAAGTAGAGAGGTTGGAACCCGATAACATAGAAATGTGATTTTCACATTGGAAGAGAAATGCAAATATCTCAACTAAAATCTACACTAAATAAAATTGATTAATATAATTTTTGTAGCGAGGAGAGACAATCCAGGCCTGGAGTAAAGCGGAGGCCTTCCGTTCACAGACAGTACAAGAGAATGACAGATATCAGGTAAAGGCATTGAAAGTTTGAATGATCTCTTCCAGTCTATCTGTTAGTAACGATCTGAAATGTGTTTACAGCAAAAAATAGAAATCATTAAAATATATCCAGACAGTATGGTTAAGATTAAAAAGAAAATCGCAGAAAGAGGAAAGCCTTTAGAGAAAGAGCTCTCCTTTCACATGTTTGAGTAAGATGGAGGATGTGTCCATTACTAGGTCTGTCTACAACGCGCCTAAAAGTCAAGGTCAAACACTGGACTCTACCGTAGTGACCAGTGGTCTTCACTCCTGATCTTCGAGAGTCAAAGGGTGTTCAGACTTTCGTTCAAACCTAGCACTAACCCACCTGATTCAAATCATCAACTAACAATCAATATCTTGATTAGCTGAATTAGGTGTGCTAATGCTGGGCTATGGAACAAAATGTCTGTAGCATTGTTGACCCATTTCCATTGGTTTGTAGCTGAGCCCAGTCCCAGCAACTCTGACAGGACAACCGCAGTAGACAGACCCTCCACATGGACTGTGCACTTTGAGAAATAAATGGTTAGCACTAAAACTGGAAGACTTTAACCTTGCCAAGGACAAACTAGGGTGCTGCTCAGATCTGAGCGACCATTTCCCCATTACTCTGCAGTCTTATCTTCAGAAACACTAAAATCCTGTTAAATGGAGCCATTTTCTCATTTGCTGCGAGGTCATTCTCATGCATGGAGAGATCCAGTCATTGTGCTGCTGAGACTCTGGAGACACATGGGGTTCTGCTGTAATAAGAGATGGCTCATTGAGGGTCCAAAAGAACAGTCCAGAGAGAGAAGCCACCCAGAACCATTGCTGGAGCACAGCGACCGTACAGTAGAAAAACTAGAGCCTGACTGATAAATCAGTCGACCGATATTAGCCTTTCACAGAAATATTTGTATCGGTCTTTATTCCACAGATAAAGCGCAGATATTATATACATAGAATAAACAAATACGTCTGCTCATTTGTGGTCATTCTTTTAAATGTTCAATGGTTGTAGGCATGGTGGTTTGACGGTGAGTAGCATGCCACAGCCAATGTATTTGAATAAGTAAATAATCAAAAGTACACTTCACCAAGCAAGCAGCCCTGTCTTAATCACATTCTCACTTAGTTAACGTTAGCTTAGCTATCTAGCCAGCAAGGTAGTTAGCTTTGCTAGCTAGCTAGCAATCTGTGCTACTTATGTGCAACACTGGACTGGAGCCAAAGGGAACAATCATTATTATTATTTGTGATATCCAATTGGTGATATCCTTAATTTGGTGATATCCAATTGGTAGTTACAGTCTTGTCCCATCGCTGCAACTCCCTTACGGACTCGGGAGATGCGAAGGTCGAGAGCCATGCATCCTCCGAAACACGACCCTGCCAAGCCACACTGCTTCTTGACACACTGCTCGCTTAACCCGGAAGCCAGCCACACCAATGTGTCGGAGGAAACACCGTCCAGCTGGCGACCAAAGTCAGCTTGCAGGCGCCCGGCCTGCCACAAGGAGTCACTAGAGCGTGATGGGACAAGGAAATCCCGGCCGGCCAAACCCTACCCTAACCCGGACGACGCTGGGCCAATTGTGCGCCGCCTCATGGGTCTCCCGGTCACGGCCAGCTGTGACACAGCCTGGGCTCGAACCCGGGTCTGTAGTGACGCCTTAGACCGGGCCTATTATATTAGCTAGTGGGCTTATTAAGTTTGTTTTACGAAATATGCACTCTGCAAAAAGCATGACATTTGGCGCAGATATAGCTAGGCCAGGCCATGTGCTTGCATTCATGATGAGATAAGTAGCTAACTTTAGCTAGCTGGCTAAATGAGAATGTGTGACTAAAACTAGTGCGGCTAGCATTTGCCTGCTTAAATATTTTTAATCATCAGCACATGCCATTTGCAGTTGAAATTTATAGCCAATATATTGTATTGAATAACAGTGATGTACATATGGTTTCTGTAAGAAAACATTGTCGTAATGAACAGCTAGCTTGTGCTTGTCATATCATACTCTCATTGCAAGTTTGCCATAAAGTGTTTGTTTACATGACCTTTGACTGTTGTAGACACTGTAGTAAATCTACTCAAGACAAATGCTGACGCTGACACCTAGCGGTGACATTACAAATGGCAAGTTACTGCATTTCAATGCTTATTTGTGAATTTATGAACAGTGCAGTTTTAGATTTACTTTAGGACTAAGTTTAATTAATTCAGACAGCCACCCCTTGTGGTGGTTTAGCACAAACACTTTTGCATTCTTCTTATGCACTACCATTGATAGGTACAACTTAAAGATTTGTCTAAGAAGGTAAACTAAACAAGTTACTGTCGTATTTATAGAGGATATAGTTGCTTTTTTGTGGATATCCTGTAAACCACAAATAAAATGTAATTAAATAATTCATTTTAATATTTTGTTAAGAAATGATTATTTAGAGTATCTTTTAATCCTTTTTTCTCACAATTTGTGTAAAAAAGTATGTTTTTCATTCCACCTCTAAAAACAATATATAGGCAGATATATCAGTAAATCGGTGACTTTTGCCTCCCTAAAATCGGTATCAGACCCAAAACTCCCATATCGGTCAGGCTCTAAGCAAAACATCTGCATAGCAATGGATCATAACTAGGGAGATATCCATAGTCCTCCTTAGCAAACCGACAAGCAACACAGAGGAGGTGAGCAGGAGAAGCCAAAGAGTAATCCCTGTCCTTTGATTGGTCAACTCCAACGGATTGTCCACAACATTGACCAATGTCAGCGCTCGACCTTGGTCAAAGCCAATGATACAGTATGTCCTTACATTGACAACTCTCAATATGTCCTCAAAATTGGCCAATGATCCTGCCCCTCCACTGCCCTCTCTACTGAGCCAGAGAGGAAGAGGCGAAGTGAGAGGGTCCACTCCCGTCAAAATCTGTCCACGTGGGAATAAAGCGATAAGCAGACCGCCTGCCTTTGGGACAACGACTCCCATTGTTGGGCGGAGACAAGACCATCTCGTCATTATATACAGTATCTCTGACTGAGCCTGGGCTGTGTCAGTGTGTGATATATATATATATATATATACACACTACCAGTCAAAAGTTTGGACACACCTACTCATTCAAGGGTTTTTCTTTATTTTTACTATTTTTTACATTGTAGGATAATAGTGAAGACATCAAAACTATGAAATAACACATATGGAATCATGTAGTAACCAAAAAAGTGTTACACAAATCAAAATATATTGGAGATTTTTCAAATATCCACCCTTTGCCTTGATGACAGCTTTGCACACTATTGGCATTCTCTCAACCAGCTTCATGAGATAGTCACCTGGAATGCATTTCAATTAACAGGTGTACCTTCTTAAAATTGTATTTGTGGAATTTCTTTCCTTCTTGACATTTTAATGCATTTGAGCCAATCAGTTGTGGTCTGACAAGGTAGGGGGAGTATACAGAAGATCGCAGCCGGCCGCGACCGGGAGACTCATGGGCGGCGCACAATTGGCCCAGCGTCGTCCAGGGTAGGGGAGGGAATGGCCGGCAGGGATGTAGCTCCGTTGATAGAGCATGGCGTTTGCAACGCCAGGGTTGTGGGTTTGATTCCCACGGGGGGCCAGTATAAAAAAATATGTATTCACTAACTGTAAGTCGCTCTGGATAAGAGCGTCTGCTAAATGACTAAAATGTAAATGTAAATGTAAATAGCCCTATTTGGTAAAAGACCAAGTCCGTATTATGGCAAGAACAGCTCAAATAGGCAAAGAGAAACAACAGTCCATCATTACTTTAAGACATGAAGGTCAGTCAATACGGAAACTTTCAAGAACTTTTAAAGTTTCTTCAAGTGCAGTCGCAAAAACCATCAAGCGATATGATGAAACTGGCTCTCATGAGGACCGCCACAGGAATGGAAGACCCAGAGTTACCTCTGCAGCAGAGGATAAGTTCATTAGAGTTATCAGCCTCAATAATTGCAGCCCAAATAAATGTTTCACAGAGTTCAAGTAACAGACACATCTCAACATCAACTGTTCAGAGGAGACTGTGTGAATCAGGCCTTCATGGTCGAATTGCTGCAAAGAAACTACTACTAAAGGAAACCAATAATAAGAAGAGACCTGCTTGGGCCAAGAAACACGAGCAATAGACATTAGACCGGTGGAAATGTGTCCTTTGGTCTGGAGTCCAAATTTGAGATTTTGGGTTCCAACCGACGTGTCTTTGTGAGACGTGGTGTGGGTGAAGGGATGATCTCTGCATGTGTATTTCCCACCGTAAAGCATGGAGGAGGAGGTGTTATGGAGTGGGGGTGCTTTGCTGGTGACACTGTCTGTGATTTATTTAGAATTCAAGGCACACTTAACCAGCATGGCTACCACAGCATTCTGCAGTGATACGCCATCCCATCTGGTTTGGGCTTAGTGTGAATATAATTTGTTTTTCAACAGGACAATGACCCAACACACCTCCAGGCTGTGTAATGGCTATTTTACCAAGAAGGAGAGAGACGGAGTGCTGCATCAGATGACCTGGCCTCCACAATCCCCCGACCTCAACCAAATTGAGATGGTTTGGGATGAGTTGGACCGCAGAGTGAAGGAAAAGCAGCCAACAAGTGCTCAGCATATGTGGGAAGACTGTTGGAAAAGCATTCCAGGTGAAGCTGGTTGAGAGAATGCCAAGAGTGTGCAAATCTGTCATCAAGGCAAAAGGTGGCTACTTTGAAGAATCTCAAATATAAAATATATTTTGATTTGTTTAACACTTTTTTGGTTACTACATGATTCCATATGTGTTATTTCATAGTTTTGATGTCTTCACTATTATTCTACAATGTAGAAGTAGGCGTGTCCAAACCTTTGACTGGTACTGTATATATAACCCTGTGTCGTTTGAAAGGCTCAGGAGGAGAAACAGAGGCCGCAGCACTCCATACAGATCTCCAGGCAGTCTGTAGACTCGCAGCAGGCGTCGATAATCCCACAGTCCATGTCACAAGGCAGTTCACAGTCGCCACACTCCTCGGAGGCACAGCAGCAGCAGAAACACGCCGAGTCATCCCCCGCACACGAACCACAGGTGGCACAGTCCAACACGATGTTACACAGAGTCAGGAACTCACAGAACAGACAGGCCAGGATACAGTGAACACAACAGTCTGAGGGAGAGAAGGGGAGTTATTCATATTTATTTTAACTGATAGTTGATTACAATGCATACTGTTTTGAGAAGAGTGAGAGAGGGAAGAGAGAGAGAAGGAGAGGTGGGGTACTACAGTGAGATGGACTGTAGGTAGGTAGCTTCTCACCATCCTGTGCCTCTGTAGGTATCTGGGAGCTGTTGCTCTTGGAGGAGCTCTTGCTCCTCTGAGAGGTGATGGAGGGGTTGGACTGGAGCTTCTTAGGGTTCTTCATCCCCGATGAGGAAGACGAGGAGGAGGAAGAGGCCGCCCTGGGGAGGGAGCCGGGGGCCGGCTGATCATGGGAGCCTCCGTTCCTCACTCCATTGGGGTGAGAGGCGTGTGTGTGCGGGTGGTGTGTGTGAGGTGTGTGTGTGCAGTGCGGGCCGTGTGTGTGCGGGGTGTGTATGTGGTGCTTGGCTCCGTTGCGTAGCTGGCTGGTGGGCTGGGTTAGGCAAGGCTGGGTGGGATGTATAGGGGTGGATCGAGCCTGGGGTTGACCTGAAGACAGGAACAAAGAAAGAGAAGAAAAACATTTAGAATAGTTGCTTTCATTGTAACCATGGGACACATTGGAATCATAGTCATTGATACAGCATGCCCCAATGGCTCCTGGGAAGGGCCGTGTGTACTGTGCTGACTTCCGACCCTGCTCATCTAGACTCTTACACAACAACCCCCAGACACTCTCCTCCTCGCCTCTTTTTCTCCTCTCTTCTTCTCCCCTCCTCTCCTCTCTCCTCTTGTCCTGTCCTCCCCTCTCACTGCCATGGCTGAAACAAGAACACGTTGGTGGGAGAAACTTGTCTTGGACAACACATCATTTCAGGTAATCCCCTTAAGAAATAGGCCTAAACTTGGGCCAACTCAATCCAGTTTGGCCAACTCAAGAATCTATTAAAATAATTTACCAAGGACAATTGGTGCTTCATGGTCTACTAATGCCAGTTGCACATTGCTAGGTGCACCATACATTAATATGTAACTTGTGACTATGATGCGTATATAGTTGCTAGTTTTAGGGTTTTGATTTATGTGGACAGAGGGGCTGAAATGGCCTGGTTCTCTCTCCTCAGTCTGAAATGTAGGCTACAGACATGCACATTTACGCACACACACACACACACACACACACACACACACACACACACACACACACACACACACACACACACACACACACACACGCCTCAGCCCAGGCCCAGTGTGTGTTTACAGCCTACAAAACCTCTACTGTTCCTCCTCTAAGTCAGACCAGGGTTGATCTTGGCTGGCCAACATGCACCTCTCCGTATATTTTACTCTGAGCACCACCAAATACTAATTACACTGAGAGAAAGAACAACGCAGTGAAAAGCACACCTCCTCTGCCAAACCAAACAGACGCCCTGAAAAAGAGAGAGGGCTAAAATGGAACCATGGTTTTTATATATTATGATAATACTTAATACCATCCTATCGAGGTCCTAAATATTTTCTAGACCTGAACGTACAGATGGAGAGAGGTGTGACATCACAGGGTAGAATACCACTGCAGGATGTCCAGAGAGAAACACACACACACCGGGGGCTGAGATGCAGTGAAACAACATTAATCGTTCAGAGACAGATAACCCTTCTTAGACTGTTGTGATTGGCCCATGGCCGGGGTCACACAACCAATCGAGTGTGATTTAAGATTCAGCGTTTTCTAAACCCACTCCAGATGTCTGGCAATGCACGGGGTAGTGGTGTGTGTGTGTGTGTGTGTGTGTGTGTGTGTGTGTGTGTGTGTGTGTGTGTGTGCGCGTGGGGGCAGTCAGAGGGATACTTCTGAAGTATGTCAAAAGTCAATACCTGCTCGGCTGCATTATGTCTCCTTTCTTTCCCTCTTCCCCTCTCTTTTTGTCTCACTCTCTCTCTTTCCCCCGGTCTCTAACTTGAACCATTCTCACATTTTCAAAGATACAGTACAATGCAGTGTAGTACAGTACAATACAGTATAGGGGTTTGGTTCTGTCGAGAGGAGAAGAGAGAGAGAACGCACGATTACAGAGACACAATCGCAGCCACCAACCCTAATCAGAGTCAGTTTTAGTGAAACCACACAGAGCGAAGCCAGGCCTATACCCCACATCTCTCTGCTAGTCATTCTCTTTGTGGCATAGTGAAATGAGGTACATGTCTGGTTAACAGAGCATTCCTTTGGTTGGTAAAGACAACATCAGCAGGAATACAATATTGTTTGTTTACTGAATTCCATAGGATAAAAAAAAAATGATTGCTGGAAATGGAGAGAGAGGGGTAACATCAAACTGGACAGAGAGAGTGAAAATGGTGTTTGGATTTATTTAGAGTGGTATGAGAGTTAATTCACCCTTTGCATGTGTGTGTCAGTCGGTTTGGAGGGGGTGGTTGTGTGTATGTGTGTGTGTGTGTGTGTGTGTGTGTGTGTGTGTGTGTGTGTGTGTGTGTGTGTGTGTGTGTGTGTGTGTGTGTGTGTGTGTGTGTGTGTGTGTGTGTGTGTGTGTGTGTGCGGGGTCAGTAAAAAGCATGGGCATCTGGCAGACAGCAAGACAGACAGACAGACAGACTGAGTTTCAGAGGAGTCATGACTGCGTAGACACGCAAACACACACACACAGTGAGAATGAACTCTGTGCAGACTGCGAGTGAGAGAGAGAAAGAGAGAGAGCGAGAGAGAGTGTGTGTGTTTCTGTTCGTGAGATAGAGAGGCAGATGAGAGTGCGTGTGTGTGAGGGATGGTGAGAGAGATCCGCTCTACGGATATACACCCCTTAGCTTTGGCTCTTGTCTATTTTGGTTCAGGAGTGATGTATGGGCGTGCCACACATAAACACAATGATTCAGCAGTTCATAGTTCAAAATAAGAACAAATAAAGAACTAAATGACTGTGGGCTTAACATAATGAGACTGGCACACCACAGAATGAAGGAGAAGAGAGGGGGAGGAAGAACAGAGAGAGGGAGAAGTGGGGTGAGAGTCAGGTGAGGAGACATTTTACTGTGCAAAAGTGTAGGACCAGCCTAGGCCTGAAAGTGCAAGAATGTGTGCAAAAGAGAAAGTTTGTGTGTGAAAGAGACAGACAGATAAAGAGAGCTGAGAGAGAGAGCACGAGAGAGAGAGAGAGAGAGCTGAGAGAGAGAGAGGCAGAGGAGAGTGTGTATGTGTTCACAAAATGGGACAAACACCAAATTGAGACTCTGCATGCAGAATTCTGTAAAAATGTCCTCCGTGTACAACGAAAAACACCAAATAATGCATGCAGAGCAGAATTAGGCCGATACCCGCTAATTATCAAAATCCAGAAAAGAGCCGTTAAATTCTATAACCACTTAAAAGGAAGCGATTCCCAAACCTTCCATAACAAAGCCATCACCTACAGAGAGATTAACTTGGAGAAGAGTCCCCTAAGCAAGCAGGTCCTGGGACTCTGTTCACAAACACAAACAGACCCCACAGAGCCCCAGGACAACAACAACAACACAATTAGACCCAACCAAATTATGAGAAAACAAAAAGAGAATTACTTGACACATGGGAAAGAATTTACAAAAAAAACTGAGCAAACTAGAATGCTATTTGGCCCTACACAGAGAGTACACAGTGGCAGAATACCTGACCACTGTGACTGACCCAAACTTAAGGAAAGCTTTGACTATGTACAGACTCAGAGAGCATAGCCTTGCTATTGAGAAAGGCCGCCATAGGCAGACCTGGCTCTCAAGAGAAGACAGGCTATGTGCACACTGCCCCCAAAATGAGGTGGAAACTGAGCTGCACTTCCTAACCTGCCAAATGTATGACCATATTAGAGACACATGTTTCCCTCAGATTACACAGATCCACAAAGAATTAGAAAACAAACCTAATTTTGATAAACTCCCTTATCTACTGGGTGAAAAACCACAGTGTGCCATCACAGCAGCAAGATTTGTGACCTGTTGCCACAAGAAAAGGGCAACCAGTGAAGAACAAACACCATTGTAAATACAACCCATATTTATGTTTATTTATTTTCCCATTTGTACTTTAACTATTTGCACATTGTTACAACACTGTATATATACATAATATGACTTTTGAAATGTCTTTATTCTTTTGACACTTCTGAGTGTAATGTTTACTGTTAATTTTTAGTGTTTATTTCACTTTTGTTTACTATCTACTTCACTTGCTTTGGCAATGTTAACATGCCAATAAAGCCATTGAATTGAATTGAGAGAGAGAGAGAGAGAGAGAGAGAGAGAGAGAGAGAGAGAGAGAGAGAGAGAGAGAGAGAGAGAGAGAGAGAGAGAGAGAGAGAGAGAGAGAGAGAGAGAGAGAGAGAGAGAGAGAGAGAGAGAGAGAGAGAGAGAGAGAGAGAGAGAGAGGTCAAGTGTTGGCCCAGCCTGTTGCCTGTAGCGATGGGAGTGTGGTATGTCTGGCTTGAGAGAGTGTGACTCACAGTCGGCTGACAGCTCACCCCCCCCCCCCCCCCCCCCCCCCCCCCACCTTCTCTCTCCCTAAATCCCTCCATCCGCTCACCTCCCATTACCCTACAGACAGCCAACCTCCCTTCTCACCTCCTCCCCCTCTCTCTAAATCCCTCTCCTCCCACTACCTCCCTACCTCCCCTTCACCTCTCCTTCCGTCAGCCCCCTCCCAACACACTGGCCTCCAGCGAAAGGCTATGATTACTGCTGATCACTGCACTCCTCTACCTTTCCAACCTCCCTCCTCCCCTCTTCCTCACCTACCTATCTCTTTCCTCCCTGTTCCTCTACTCCCCCCCTCTCTCTCGCTCTCCCTCCCTCCCTCAGTGACTCAGCAGTCTGAGCAGTAGACAGTAAACAGAGTGCTGTTTGTGCCAACCTGCTCAGACCAGGCCATCTGAACTAGGTCCGAGCTGTGAGGGACCTGGACCATTGTGCTCCCTTCCTACATTAGAACAGGAACACCTGAGTGACACCCAGCACCTTGACCAGGGATCATAGCTAATCAGAACTAAGTGCTTTATAATGGTAGGTACTGTCACCTTGTCCTTCCACTGTCACCTCATTCACCTCTTTCATCACCAATGGGACTTGATGAGTACTGGGGGGTGGAGGGTAACCCACCAAAAACAATGTGACCCCATAATCCAATGTCTGATTCAGCTAATTTCAACACAAATCCATAGGGATGGGGAATCTAATCTCGGAATAGCAGTGTGGTATTCTTAAAGGGTGGTATTCTGAAGGAAGTGCAGCCTATTTCCCTATGTAGAGTGTTGGGAGTGGGAAACGAAGGCTGAGGGAGGCAGGATTAACACTGATTTAGGATAAAAGCTCTCCTTAACTGGGAGATTGGGATAAAAATAGGGAGTGATGGAAGGGGGAGAGAAGGAAGTGGGAAGAATGGGTCAGAGGTACATTTACATTTTAGTAGACACTCTTATCCAGAGCGACTTACAGTTAGTGAATACATTTTTTTTTTTATACTGGCCCCCCGTGGGAATCAAACCAACAACCCTGGCGTTGCAAACACCATGCTCTATCAACTGAGCTACATCCCTGCCGGCCATTCCCTCCCCTACCCTGGACGACGCTGGGCCAATTGTGCGCCGCCCATGAGTCTCCCGGTCGCGGCCGGCTGCGACAGAGCCTGGATTCGAACCAGGATCTCTAGTGGCACAGTTAGCACTGCGATGCAGTGCCTTAGACCACTGCGCCACTCAGGAGTTCGAAGTTGGGGTTCACTGTCGGTGACAAATGGTATCCTGCAACACAGATGATGTACTCTTTCCAGGCCCTTTGTGTGTGTGCGTGTGTGTCACCATCAGGACTGAGGCCTCCAGGAGGAAGAGGAGGATGAGGAAGAGGAGAGATTCATCACAGACTGGTGTGTAATTAAAGGCACTGTGTCACGATCCTGTTACATTTCACATCGGCAACACTCTAACCCAGTTCACATCCCCTTTAATGATCCCAGCATCATACTGATCTCACCAAGCTGCCAACTCAGCCTTTCCATGGCAGTGTTGTGTGTGCGTGATTGTACGCCTTACAAAGCTAAAAACTAAATAGTTCACAAAATATTGCTCCATTTCAACTGTTATTAACTTGTCTGAATGGACCCTGTGGGTCCTTAACTCTCTGTGTTTCATTGTGGTGCCAGAGAAAGTGATTGAGAGAGTGTGACTGAGGGGTCTGACAGAGCACTGGACTCTGACTAACAGTGAGAGTGGTGGTGATGGTGGTCAGTGTAACAGGGTTGTCACTAGTTACCACAGCCACAATCTAAATTGGCTATATCGTAAATATTCATGAAAACAAAAATTAGCTTTTTATTTTTTTATTTAAGGTTAGGGTTAGTCATATGGTTAGCAGTGTGTTTAAGGTTAGGGTTAGTCATATGGTTAGCAGTGTGTTTAAGGTTAGGGTTAGTCATATGGTTAGCAGTGTGTTTAAGGTTAGGGTTAGTCATATGGTTAGCAGTGTGTTTAAGGTTAGGGTTAGTCATATGGTTAGCAGTGTGTTTAAGGTTAGGGTTAGTCATATGGTTAGCAGTGTGTTTAAGGTTAGGGTTAGTCATATGGTTAGCAGTGTGTTTAAGGTTCAAATCAGATTTTAAGAAGAGAAACTGTAGAAATAGGCAAGTTTTATTACTTTGTGGCTGTGGTAACTAGTGACGACCACCAGTAGGAGCAGGAGCAGACCTGAGGTTTGGATGGAAACAGAAGACCCCCAAAGTAGAGATCAGTCAGGAGTCAGACAGCCTTTCACCCAGTCACCAACCCCCAAACACACACCCCTCCTCCCCCATCTCTCTCTAGTATCCTTCTCTTACTCAGAACTGACAAATGACTAACAGAGCTTATTTTAAGACTCCCAGAAAAACAGGAGAGCCCATAGGAGAGATTTATCATGAGTTAGGAAAGTGTAACCAACACTCACTTATTCAGAGCTTCTTACTGGCAGTCTGTGTAGGACTGTGACGTAGGCTTAAGCCACTGACAGTGTCAATGACGTATGAGCGATGAGGCTGCTTTATTGAATCAATGTGCTAAAGAAACAGAAACACACTACTCAACTACCAAAGAGAATAGCATTCACATATGTGGCACAGCACACACAACAGCACACACACACACACGCTCTAACAGCTCTCTCTCACACACACAGACACCCGTTAACAGCTCTCTCTCACACACACAGACACCCGTTAACAGCTCTCTCTCACACACACAGACACCCGTTAACAGCTCTCTCTCACACACACAGACACCCGTTAACAGCTCTCTCTCACACACACAGACACCCGTTAACAGCTCTCTCTCACACACACAGACACCCGTTAACAGCTCTCTCTGCACATTGTTCTCAGACAGCTTGTCAGAGGCCCAGCGCCAGACACATGCTACAACCATGATGTCATCACTGCGAGCCAGAGCATCTGGGCTGCAGAATGCAATCTCGCTTCTGTTTTCATCCACACAAGTCATTTACATCATGACATCACCACGCACACACAAACCATAGTCATCTAGTAGCAGCAAGAGCCACTATTTCATATTTCCTAATCAGTGTACAGGCCATAGCCAAACTCTCTCTCTCTTTATTGCTGTAGTTGTAGCAGAGTGAGGGGGTCTATAAAGTTAGTCACAGTGTTCCTGTAGGGTGCTGATGATACAATAGTGTTCACAACTGTACGACTTCCAGACACACACACACACCCAAATGTATGCACACACTCACACACAAACATGCACACACAGTACGAGCCCCAGACACACACACACACACACACACACAAGCCATCTGCATCAAAAGAGAAAACCAGACGTAACAGCGGGAGGATGGGTGGAAGGGAGGAAAAGAGGATGGGAGGGAGGATGAGAGGGAGGGAGGAAGGTAGAGTTGGATGAAGTTGCTTGTAGATGCTGATCTAAGGTCCGTTTTGCATTGTCCCTTTAATGGTTAAGGTTGGGATTGGGGGAGGGAACGCTGTGCCTCCGGGCAACATTTAACTGGAGCAGGAGGAGGGTTGGAAGGACGTATGGGGATGGAGGGAGGGAGGTATAGGGGGGTGGAGGGAGGGAGGTATAGGGGGATGGAGGGAGGCATGGGGGATGGAGGGAGGGAGGTATAGGGGATGGAGGGAGGTATAGGGAATGGAGGGAGGGAGGTATAGGGGATTAAGGGAGGTATAGGGGGGGTGGAGGGAGGGAGGTATAGGGAATGGAGGGAGGCATGGGGGATGGAGGGAGGGAGGTATAGGGGGATGGAGGGAGGTATAGGGAATGGAGGGAGGGAGGTATAGGGGATTAAGGGAGGTATAGGGAATGGAGGGAGGGAGGTATAGGGAATGGAGGGAGGCATGGGGGGTGGAGGGAGGGAGGTATAGGGAATGGAGGGAGGCATGGGGGATGGAGGGAGGGAGGTATAGGGGATGGAGGGAGGTATAGAGAATGGAGGGAGGGAGGTATAGGGGATGGAGGGAGGTATAGGGAATGGAGGGAGGGAGGTATAGGGAATGGAGGGAGGCATGGGGGATGGAGGGAGGGAGGTATAGGGGATGGAGGGAGGGAATGGAGGGAGGGAGGTATAGGGGATGGAGGGAGGGAGGTATAGGGAATGGAGGGAGGCATGGGGGATGGAGGGAGGGAGGTATAGGGGGATGGAGGGGAGGTATGGGGGATGGAGGGAGGTATAGGGGATGGAGGGAGGGAGGTATAGGGGATGGAGGGAGGGAGGTATAGGGAATGGAGGGAGGGAGGTATAGAGAATGGAGGGAGGCATAGGTGGGATGGAGGGAGGTATGGGGGGATGGAGGGAGGTATGGGGGGGATGGGGGGATGAAGGGAGGTATAGGGGGGATGGAGGGAGGTATAGGGGGCGATGGAGGGAGATATAGGGGGGATGGAGGGAGGTATAGGAGATGGTCCCCTGTAGCTCAGTTGGTAGAGCATGGTGCTTGAAACGCCAGGGTTGTGGGTTCGTTTCCCACGGGGGGCCAGTATGAAAAATGTATGCACTCACTAACTGTAAATAACTCTGGATAAGAGCGTCTGCTAAATGACTACAATGTAAATGTTGTACATTTTGTCCGTAGTTGCATAACTCTTGCGGCAGTAGCACAGGGTATGGAGCTGCATTTATGGAGGACATAAAATAAAAGAGAGAATAATGTTGGATCCAGACCTAGACTAATACTAACACACACACACACACACACACACACACACACACACACACACACACACGCCTGCACAGACGCACACACACAGAAACCTTTTTCATAAGGATTTCAACACTACCCACCCCAATTCACCCATAACCATAAACCCAGTCCCTCTCTTAGTATTACCCAATCTCTCTCTCTGACACAGCCTCTCAAATACACCATCATAAACAGATTCTGTAGTTATTTTGCGGTAACTCAGAAACCAAGAGTTACTGTCAGGAAGTAGCTCAGGTTGCTTTCCCGTACGCACCGAGGTGGAGGAGAGGAGAGGCCCCCTGACCTGACTGCAGTGTGATTATGTGTGTAGTGACCCCCATAATCCAAAACGTCTGACTATAAACTGTTAGCCCAGGGAAAGGTTTAACACTATTTGTACATCAACTATGATGATAACTCATACATCACTCATACATGGTTCAACCATCACACAGATGCCCAAGAGAATAAGGGGGAGAGACTGCCAAAAACTATACTGCCAGACTCACCTACGTTCAGTAGCCATAGCGACTCCCTAACAATCACAGTTACCACCAAACAGAGAGAAAATAGTCAAATGGAGGAGAGGAGAGAGGTGTTTCATTTGGCTGTAGCAAGTGGCGTGTTGCATGTAAACACGTGTTCTGCAGCAATTCGGAACCTAGCCCACTTAACTCCCTCTGTTGACAATTCAATTCAAAGGTAATAATAATAATAATAATATGCCATTTAGCAGACGCTTTTATCCAAAGCGACTTACAGTCATGCGTGCATACATTTTTGTGTATGGGTGGTCCCGGGGATCGAACCCACTACCTTGGCGTTTCAAGCGCCGTGCTCTACCAGCTGAGCTACAGAGGACCAAGGTGTATGTACGTGTGTATGTGAGCGTGTGTGTATGTATGTATGTATGTATGTGTGTATGTGACCGTGTACCTGACCTATTTCTTGGGGCTGTGTGTGTTCATTCAGGGTCAAGACAGTGTGACTCACAACACCAGGGCTCAGTAATGGAACCCAAACATTCAGTGTGTGTGTGTGTGTGTGTGTGTATGTGTGTGTGCGTGAGAGAGTGTGTACACATGTGCATACGTGTGTGTCTCTCACAGATAATGGTCTTGCTAGGTGTCGTCAGGTCCGGCTGTGAGAGACTGTTGTTGTTGTTGCCATTCTCCGCGTCTCCTAGCAACCCATCTGGTTTGAACTTTGGCCTTTCGATGAGGGGCTCCAGGCTCCCGTCCACATCTGGAGGCAACACACAGCGAGAGAGAGGAGCGACTGAGACAGAGGGACAGGACACACATTCATCTGGAGGTAACACACAGCGAGAGAGGGAGAGAGAGAGAGACAGGACACACACATTCACAAAACCTTTATGAAGACGACTTAAAAAAAGCTATAATCTGTTATACTTGAATTCTTCTGAAGTTATTGAATGTCTCCTCAAGTTGCTGAGAACAACTGAAACAGCAATATTTTGTCACTGACTGAAGCTGCTTTGTTTTGTCTTTGGTAGAGTTGCCAATGTACAGTACACTTAAGCCTTGTTCACACTGCAGGCCTTAATGCTCAAATCAGTTTTGTTTTTCCAATCCGTTTTGGTTTACTGACTGTCCAAACAAATCGGATTTGTGTGTTCAGACAGCAGTCATTTGCTGACATGGCTACTCTAGTTGTCATAGTAACAACGGGTGTGTGCGTGGTGGTGTAGGCTGATTGGTGGTGGTGCTCATGCTTCCTATCACTTAGAAGTTATGTAGCAATGTAAGGTGACAACAATGCCTGCCATGGACAAATTCACTAAATCATAGGGTAAGAACACTTTTAAAGCCTCAAAGGATAAGATGATCCAACTTTCAAAAAAAGTCGTTTTTGGCTAGCCACAGCAGACAACTAGACAGCTAGGTAGACGTTTTGCTTTCTAGCACATTCACTCATTTGTTTGTAAACGATTAACAAGTTACCACATGTTCTTGTCAAACTGCCAGAGTAGCTAGCAAGCAACAAGATATGCCAAATTTACATTTACATTTTAGTCATTTAGCAGAGGCTCTTACCCAGATCGACTTACAGGAGCAATTAGGGTTAAGTGCCTTGCTCAAGGGCACATCGACAGGTTTTTCACCTAGTTGGCTTGGGGATTCGAACCAGTGGCTTTTCGGTTACTGGCCCAACACTTTTAACCGCTAACAGTCTAAAAACCACTTGAAGGCAAATAAATCAGATTTGACCATTCAGACACAAGTCACATGGACAGGAATCAGATTGGTATCTGACTTCAAACCACCTACAAAGATGGTTTGAAATGTGGCTTGAAATATCCGATCCCATGTGCTTTTTGGCTGTTCAGACTGCAGGATAAAGAACAGCTTCTAATCGGATATGCAACAAAATGTGGATTTGTGTAACTTCAAACTGCCAATGTGAACACAGCTTAAGACTACCACGTATAACAAACAAACACATGGACAACTAGGCACCACAACTGACCAACTGAGCTAATTGATCAGTTCAGTGATTGCCTAAATTCAACACAACTGGTTTTCCAGGTTGGTTAAATCAAAAACATGAAGTGCCTCTGGCACTCCAGCACCAGGATTGCCTACGCCTGGTCTACTGCATGTCATTTCCAATCTCCAAGCTATTCACTGGATGGAACACAGACTGTAGAATTACTCATCTGGCTCAAACAGACTGTGAGTGAGAGCATAATTGTGTGAGGGAGCGTATGTGTATGTGTGTGTGTGTGTGTGTGTGTGTGTGTGTGTGTGTGTGTGTGTGTGCATCTGGAGACAGTAAAATCCAACCCGTTGGGACTGTTTAGGGGTATATGCGCATGCCTGTGAAACCTGCAGTGTTTGTGTGTGTTTGTGTATGTGAGGACACATACAATGCATTAAATGTATGTGAGTTTCCGTGTTTTATATGTGCTTACTGGAGCCAGGCGGTCTATGATGAAGCTGTAATTATGCAGGACTACACATACACGCCTCTGAGAGGTGCAGACTCATTCCTGGGCAAATGGGAGCCAGCTGGGTTTGATCTGCCATCCGACACACACACACACACACACACACACACACACACACACACACACACACACACACACACACACACACACACACACACACACACTGTGAAATGCCTGAACCACCCCAGCCTGCTTCTTTACTCTAATCACTCTCCTTCTCTTCTTTATCCTGTCCTGTCTGGTCCCCCCCCCTCCCTTCTCACTTCGGTTTCTCACTCTCTCAACAAATAACAACAAAAAACTTTCTTCTGAAACTCGTCAGTCTATTCTTGTTCTGAGAAATTAAGGCTATTCCATGCGAGAAATTGCCAAGAAACTGAAGATCTCGTACAACACTGTGTACTACTCCCTTCACAGAACAGCGCAAACTGGCTCTAACCAGAATATAAAGAGGAGTGGGAGGCCCCGGTGCACAACTGAGGAAGAGGACAAATACATTAGAGTGTCTAGTTTGAGAAACAGACGCCTAACAGGTCCTCAACTGGCAGCTTCATTAAATAGTACCCGCAAAACACCAGTCTCAACATTAACAGTGAAGAGGCGACTCCGGGATGCTGACCTAGGCAGAGTTGCAAAGAAAAAGTCCAGTGTCCAGGGTTGGAAAGTAATAAAGGGAAATATATTTTAAAAACGGATATGTGTATATATATATATGTATGTATATGTATTTATATGTACATATGTGTATATGTATGTGTATGTATGTATATGTATATATATTATATTATATTATTATATACAGTGGGGAGAACAAGTATTTGATACACTGCCGATTTTGCAGGTTTTCCTACTTACAAAGCATGTAGAGGTCTGTAATTTTTATCATAGGTACACTTCAACTGTGAGAGACGGAATCTAAAACAAAAATCCAGAAAATCACATTGTATGATTTTTAAGTAATTAATTTGCATTTTATTGCATGACATAAGTATTTGATACATCAGAAAAGCAGAACTTAATATTTGCTACAGAAACCTTTGTTTGCAATTACAGAGATCATACGTTTCCTGTAGGTCTTGACCAGGTTTGCACACACTGCAGCAGGGATTTTGGCCCACTCCTCCTTACAGACCTTCTCCAGATCCTTCAGGTTTCGGGGCTGTCGCTGGGCAATACGGACTTTCAGCTCCCTCCAAAGATTTTCTATTGGGTTCAGGTCTGGAGACTGGCTAGGCCACTCCAGGACCTTGAGATGCTTCTTACGGAGCCACTTCTTAGTTGCCCTGGCTGTGTGTTTAGGGTCGTTGTCATGCTGGAAGACCCAGCCACGACCCATCTTCAATGTTCTTACTGAGGGAAGGAGGTTGTTGGCCAAGATCTCGCGATACATGGCCCCATCCATCCTCCCCTCAATACGGTGCAGTCGTCCTGTCTTCTTTGCAGAAAAGCATCCCCAAAGAATGATGTTTCCACCTCCATGCTTCACGGTTGGGATGGTGTTCTTGGGGTTGTACTCATCCTTCTTCTTCCTCCAAACACAGCGAGTGGAGTTTAGACCAAAAAGCTCTATTTTTGTCTCATCAGACCACATTACCTTCTCCCATTCCTCCTCTGGATCATCCAGATGGTCATTGGCAAACTTCAGACGGGCCTGGACATGCGCTGGCTTGAGCAGGGGGACCTTGCGTGCGCTGCAGGATTTTAATCCATGACGCCGTAGTGTGTTACTAATGGTTTTCTTTGAGACTGTGGTCCCAGCTCTCTTCAGGTTATTGACCAGGTCCTGCCGTGTAGTTCTGGGCTGATCCCTCACCTTCCTCATGATTATTGATGCCCCACGAGGTGAGATCTTGCATGGAGCCCCAGACCGAGGGTGATTGATCGTCATCTTGAACTTCTTCCATTTTCTAATAATTGCGCCAACAGTTGTTGCCTTCTCACCAAGCTGCTTGCCTATTGTCCTGTAGCCCATCCCAGCCTTGTGCAGGTCTACAATTTTAGCCCTGATGTCCTTACACAGCTCTCTGGTCTTGGCCATTGTGGAGAGGTTGGAGTCTGTTTGATTGAGTGTGTAGACAGGTGTCTTTTATACAGGTAACGAGTTCAAACAGGTGCAGTTACTGTATATATATATACAGGTGCCCCACTGTATATATATATATATATATATATATATATATATATATATATATATATATGCGAGAAAAAAAAACATATGGGGGATTGGAAGTGATGCAGACAATTACATTGATGGAAGTTACAATCTATCTGCAATACTAAAGCTGATCTAACCCCTTAATGTAGATATTCCATAACAAATCAGCCGTTTCCAGCTACAATAGCCATTTACAACATTAACAATGTCTACACTGTATTTCTGATCAATTTGATGTTATTTTAATGGACAATTGCTTTTCTTTCGAAAACAAGGACATTTCTAGGTGACCCCAAACTTTTGAACGGTAGTGTATATCAAAGAAAATATCAAAGCCATCCAAACAACATGCTAGGGTAAATAGGAAAAGTGCTCTGATGAAGAGGCTGTGTGTGTGTGTGTGTGTGTGTGTGTGTCAAATTAAATTAAATTGTATTCGTCACATGCGCCGGCCGAATACAACTGGTGTAGACTTTACAGTGAAATGCTTACTTACGAACCCTTTCCCAACAATGCAGAGTTAAAAAATAAGAACATTTGCACAAAAAAAGAAGGAAATAGTAACACAATAAAATAACAATAACGAGGCTCTATACAAGGTGTACCAGTATCGAGTCAATGTGCAGGGGTATGAGGTAGTTGAAGTGATTGAGGTAATATGTACATGTAGGTAGGATTAAAAGTCACTCGGCAATCTGGATAGATAATAAACAGAGTAGCAGCAGCGTGTGTGAAGAGTGTCAAAGTGTGTATATGCGTGAGTGTGTGTGTGTAGCGTCAATATGCATGTGTGTGTGTTTTGTGTGTGTGAGTGTATGTAGTGTGTGTGTATGTGTGTGTGTTGGAGTGTCAGTGTAGTATGTATGAGTGTGTGGGTAGAGTCCAGTCAGTGTGCATAGAGTCAGTGTAAGTGAGTCAGTGAACAAAAGGTCAATGCAAGTAGTGAAATTCAAGGTTACTTTTTAGTATTAATTTCATTCAGAGGTAGGTAGATAGACAAACGTTTCGGCCTAAGCCTTCGTCAGTATCATTAGCGTCTCCTCTGAAGGTGCGCTTCTTTATTGTGAACTCGTTAAGGGTAACGACATACAGGTGTGTTCATGTGCGCGCTCCTGGATAATAATGTATCCTCCAAATATACAATACATAATCTAATATCTAACAAGTAACTTTTTATAATAATGCATTGGAAAAACATTAGGCTTTGGGCTGCTCATACACCAATGTCCATAAATAGTTACAGGAAAATACTGATTAACAATAGAAGCTAGATTCAGGCTGGTCTCAAAAACGACCTCTCCAGAATCCATATGACGGAAATCCGTCGCAGTGACGGATAAGTTTAACCCCTGGATCAATCCATCATTGTATAATTATTTCTGTCCATCTGTCTGTCTGTCTCTCCACTTGTCTGTCTGTCTCTCTCTCTGTCTGTCTTCTATCGTTCTATCATTCTATCTATTGTTCTTTCTATCTATTCTGTAACCTGCAAACGTCTTATGGTTTCTCATAAATCTCAAACATCAGAAGGTTAAAAGCCAAACCAAGAGGATTGTGCCTCGAAGCCCTTGTCTGCCCTTAGTAAACCACCACCATTGGACCAAAACAAATCTGAACCCAATATCAAACGTGACTAGAACCAATCCTATGCTGGCACTCGTGCCAAACCCCAAAACCACCAAACTGTGGAGCGATTTCTGAGATCTGAGAATGATGAGGCTCTAATTAAAATCAGACCAGAGTAATCAAGCAATGCTTGACCTGGCTGTGTGTACACACGTGTTGGTGAGTTTGTTGGTGACGTGTGTGTATGTGTGTGTCCATGTGTGTGTGTCTGTGTGTGCGTATGTGCGTGCATGTGGCTATACTGTATCTATGTGTACTCTCCCCTAGAGGGGCTAAACAAATGAATGTCACCTTATAAACACAGCTCTAGTGTTGGATAATAAAGCAGGAACATTTGGATGATAGTAACATAGAAACATAAATAACAGCATACAAGCTGTTATAATGAGCTAGCCAACTCTGTGACGTATCACGTTTGGCCGTAGGGGAGAGAACCGCTATTACACTGACACTATGAGGGGTCTAGATTGGTTAGGGCTGGATAGAGAGAGACTACTGTTTAGTTGTAGTTTGCATTAGCAGGGAGAGACAGGGGGGTAAAGAGGAATCTTCAGAGGCAGCAACATGGCGCCCAGTTCTAAAGACTACAGTTGGCCAAACTCTTTCACCTTGGCTGCTATCTTAGTCCCAGCCTTCCTCTCCTCACAACTCTTACACAAAATGTTCCTCCCTCTCCCTCTCTCCTGTGATCTGCTGAGTGTTCTTTATTTACTGGAAGACTCTGAGAGAGCACAGCATGAAAGAGACTGGGCCTGGAGCCTGGTATTAGTTCTGGAGAGAGAGAAGGGGGGGGGGGGGGGGGGGGAGAGTATGGTAGGAGAAAGAGAAAAAAGTCACGGAGGCTTTACCTGGAGTCTTTGAAACTCCCTAAACCCTCTCCCTCTCTGTCTCTGTCTCTGTCTATACAGCCTTCACTAATGCCCCCTCTGAAGTCACTCTACACTGAGGATATCACTGCTGTCTGTGTGTGTGTGTGTGTGTGTGTGTGTGTGTGTGTGTGTGTGTGTGTGTGTGTGTGTGTGTGTGTGTGTGTGTGTGTGTATGTGTGTGTGTGTGTGTGTGTGTGTGTGTGTGTGTGTGTGTGTGTGTGTGTGTGTGTGTGTGTGTGTGTGTGTGTGTGTGTGTGTGTGTGTGTGTGTGCGCGCGCGTGCGTGCGTGCGTGCGTCTGACTGACAGCAGACAGGGGGATGTGTTCCACCCCAACAGTGTCTAGAGAAGGAGAGATGCTTAAGGTGTAAACTTTCATCAGAGGGGCAGAACTTTCCAGCCCACTGACTGTGTTTGGCTCTACCTCAATGTCTTTGATCAGGTCTCACCTATAGACAGAAACTTAAACAGGAAGTAACCATGATAAGGACTGTTCAACAATGGTCTGACCAATCGGAATCAGTGCTTCAAGATTGTTTTGATCACGCGGACTGGGAAATGTTCCGGGTCGCCTCTGAGAATAGTATCGACGTATACACTGACTTGGTGACTGGGTTCATCGGGAAGTGCATAGATGATGTTGTTCCCACTGTGACGATTAGAACTTATCCAAACCAAAAACCGTGGATAGATGGCAGCATTCGCGCAAAACTGAAAGCGCAAACCACCACATTTAACCATGGCAAGGTGACTGGGAACATGTACAAACAGACCAGCTATGACCTCTAAGGTAATCAAAGAGGCACAACCACATTACAGGGACAAAGTGGAGTTGCAATTCAACGGCTCAGACACCAGACGCATGTGTCAGGGACTCCAGACAATCACAAAACATTAGACTGACCAGGTGAATAAAAGCTAAGCTCCCTTTTTGATGTCACTTGTTAAATCCACTTCAATCAGTGTAGATGAAGGGGAGGAGACAGGTTAAAGAAGGATTTGTAAGCCTTGAGACATTTGAGACATGGATTGTGTATGTATGCCATTCAGAGGGTGAATGGGCAGCCCAAAAGATTTAAGTGCCTTTGAACTGGGTATGGTAGTAGGTGCCAGGCGCACCGGTTTGAGTGTGTCAAGAACCGCTGTTGGGTTTTTCACGCTCAACAGTTTCCTGTGTGTTTCAAGAATGGTCCACTACCCAAAGGACATCCAGCCAACTTGACATAACAGTGGGAAGCATTGGAGTCAACATTGGCCAGGATCCCATTGGAATGCTTTCAACAACTTGTAAGCATGTTAACCCTTGCAAGGCTGCCGGCCCAGACGGCATCCCAAGCCGCGTCTTCAGAGCATGTGCAGACCAGCTGGCTGAAGTGTTTACTGACATATTCAATCTCTCCATATCCCAGTCTGTTGTCCCCACTTGCTTCAAGATGTCCAACATTGTTCCAGTACCCAAGAAAGTGAAGGTAACTGAACTAAATTACTATCACCCCATAGCACTCAACTTGCATACCACCCCAACAGATCCACGGACGATGCAACTCCTCCCTGTGCAACTGGGTCCTGGACTTCCTGAAGGGCCAACCCTAAGTGATGAATTTTTGACAACAACACCTCTACTACACTGATCCTCAGCACAGGGGCCCCACAGAGGTGCGTGCTCAGCCCCCTCCCGTACTCCCTGTTCATCCATGACTGCGTGGCCACGCACGTCTCCAACTCAATCATCAAGTTTGCTTACGACACAACAGTGGTAGGCCTGATTACCAACAACGACAAGACAACCTACAGGCAGGAGGTGAGAGCCCTGGCGGAGTGGTGCCAAGAAAATAACCTCCCCTCCTCAACGTCAACAAAATGAAGGAGCTGATCATGGATTACAAGAGACAGCAGAGAGAGCACGCCCCCATCCACATCGACGGCGTCGCAGTGGAGAGGGTCAAAAGCTTCAAGTTCATTGGCGTGCACATCACTGACGACCTGAAATGGTCCTTTCACACAGACAGTGTGGTGAAGAAAGCGCAGCAGCGCCTCTTCAACCTCAGGAGGCTGAAGAAATTTGTCTTGGCCACTAAGACTCTCATGAACTTCTACATATGCACCATTGAGAGCATCCTGTCAGGCTGAATCACCGCCTGGTAAGGCATTTGCACCGTCCGCAACCGCAGGGCTCTCCAGATGGTGGTGCGGTCAGCCCAACGCTTCACCGGGGGCACACTGCCTTCCCTCCAGGACATCTACAGCACCCGCTGTCACAGGAAGGCCAAGATGAGCCTCAAGGACCTCAGCCACCCGAGCCACAGCCTGTTCACGCCGCTACCATCTAGAAGGCGGAGACAGTACAGGTGCATCAAAGCTGGGAAAGAGAGACTGATAAACAGCTTCTATCTAAAGGCCATCAGATTGTTAAACAGTCACCACTAGCCAGCCACCACCCAGTACCCTGCCCTGAACCTTAATCACTGTTACTACTAGCTACTCTACCCTGCACCTTAGAGACTGCTGCCCTATGTACAGTACCAGTCAAAGGTTTGGACACACCTACTCATTCAAGGGTTTTTCTTTATTTTTACTATTTTCTACATTGTACAATAATAGTGAAGACATCAAAACTATGAAATAACACATATGGAATCATGTAGTAACCAAAGAAGTGTTAAACAAATCAAAATACTGTATATTCTTCAATTAGCCACCCTTTGCCTTGATGACAGCTTTGCACACTCTTGGCATTCTCTCAACTAACTTCACCTGGAATGCTTTTCCAACAGTCTTGAAGGAGTTCCCACATATGCTTAGCACTTGTTGGCTGCTTTTCCTTCACTCTGCCGTCCGACTCATCCCAAACCATCTCAATTGGGTTGAGGTCGGGGGATTGTGGAGGCCAGGTCATCTGATGCAGCACTCCATCACTCTCCTTCTTGGTAAAATAGCCCTTACACAGCCTGGAGGTGTGTTGGGTCATTGTCCTGTTGAAAAACAAATGATAGTCCCACTAAGCCCAAACCAGATGGGATGGCGTATCGCTGCAGAATGCAGTGGTAGCCATGCTGGTTAAGTGTGCCTTGAATTCTAAATAAATCACAGACAGTGTCACCAGCAAAGCACCCCCACACCATAACACCTCCTCCTCCATGCTTTATGGTGGGAAATACACATGCAGAGATCATCATAGCGCTTGATGGTTTTTGCGACTGCACATGAAGAAACTTTAAAAGTTCTTGAAAGTTTCCGTATTGATTGACCTTCATCTCTTTAAGTAATGATGGACTGTCTTTTCTCTTTGCTTATTTGAGCTGTTCTTGCCATATTATTGACTTGGTCTTTTACCAAATAGGGCTATCTTCTGTAGGGCTATCTTCTGTAAATAGGGCTATCTCCCCTCCACCTTGTCACAACACAACTGATTGGCTCAAACGCGTTAAGAAGGAAATAAATTCCACAAATTAACTTTTAAGAAGGCACACCTGTTAATTGAACTGCATTCCAGGTGACTACCTCATGAAGCTGGTTGAGAGAATGCCAAGAGTGTGCAAAGCTGTCATCAAGGCAAAAGATTTGAAGAATCTCAAAAATTAAATATATTTTGATTTGTTTAACACTTTTTTGGTTACTACATGATTCCATATGTGTTATTTCATAGTTTTGATGTCTTCACTATTATTCTACAATGTAAAAAATAGTAAAAATAAAGAAAAACCCTTGAATGAGTAGGTGTGTCCAAACTTTTGACTGGTAGTGTACATAGAGTCATTGAACACTGGTCACTTTAGTAATGTTACATACTGTTTTACCCACTTTATATGTATATACTGTATTCTAGTCATGGCTCATTCTATATACAGTCCTTAATTTGAGCTGGTTCCTGCCAGAACAGGATCTGGCACCTCTCTCAGTTTTGGACTGTTTCGTTCCGGAACCCATTTGCCAGTATCTGGTACCTTAAAAGGTACTTGTATCTGGTACCTGAAAAAATACTTTTCACTGTTTGCAATGTAAAAATTCTAATTAAAGCAATCAGAGTTAATTGAAGTTGACTCCTCTGTAATTCTCCTGGCTTCCACCTAAGAAACGTAATGTGAAAACGTGCCTGATATTCTAAGAATGTATCTGTGTTGGGCCAGCCCAGATTATTTGTTTGCACAACATTGCTGGCCATTGCTGTGGTGAGAGAGAGAAGCACATCTGTATCTCTCACAGAACTAGAATGAGATTCATTTTCCCTCTCTCTGCTCTGATAGACATGAGCCTGCAACTCTCATCTCTGCAGCGTTGCACGTCATCATTTATTTCCTTATAGAATCATAGCCGTGGGAAGGGTGTTGGGGGTGCCGCAGCACCCCTGATAAATTGAAATACATTTGTCTAAGTAATAGAATTACTCCTGTCTGTTCAGAACGAAATGAAATAATTCCGAATACTACACCAGGAGTAAGGCTATAATTCTGCCACAGAGGAACAATCGTTTTTTTTTTTTTTTTTATTGCCTAGCTGTGGATTGTGTGTAGCCCAATCACAAGGCATGCCTACAGTCGGGAACGCACAGCAAATCTGTCAGTGAACAGCATGCAGTCAAAACAGGACTTTCACAATACCCCTTCAAATTAGTGGATTCGGCTATTTCAGCCACACCCGTTGCTGACAGGTGTATAAAAGTTTGACTGTCAAATCCATGTATTGGTGTGTGGCCAACAACTTATTTAAAGAGAGACCGTCCAAAATGTCGTGCCATTTAAATTAGAAAAATCCTGCGCACCCCAGAGCGTGACAAAATCAACAGGGAAGGTTTAAGCAATCAATCTTATTTCATCGTGATGACTATAAACTTTTATACTAACATCACAAATCTGAGGTAAAAAGGATGTGCAAGCTTGTGTAAGGTAGTAATACAAACTGTCCACATTAGGGAAATTAGCCCAATAAAAATTGATTTCATATGACAAAATAATTAAACACGTCAATTTATGATGATAGTATATATTGCCCACTCCCAAACTATTGCAACAATGACATCTATTTATCTCTCACTTAACCATTTAGAGAGTTTAAAAATGCTCTCAAACACAATTTAACTGGGCGTTCTAGACTAGAGCCTCCATAGTCTGTGCAGCAGCCTGAACGTTTGACGTCCCTACTCTAAACACACTGCAGACACCCTCAGCAAAGCACTGAACATTAAGACCACCATCTGCAAAGCATCAAACCATAGAAATGGAAGAAAAGAGAGAACCAGCTCAGGACTAGAGATCCAGTAGGGGAGAACAATGTCTAGATTCTCTTCACTCCAAGGACCAGCCATGGTTGAGGAGCAGTGCAGCCTCTGCATCTGTGCTTTCCTGCATTCTCTAGGCCAGCAGCTACAGTAGGCCAGTTCAGCGAGGGCCAAATGTGTATCAGAGTTGGAGAGGTTGGGAAAACAAATTCCCATGCTTTTTCATAGTTCAACTTTGTCGTAATGGGGCTGCGCACCCATGGGGCGGCGCACAATTGGCCCAGCGTCGTCCAGGGTAGGGGAGGGAATGGCCGGCAGGGATGTAGCTCAGTTGGTAGAGCATGGCGTTTGCAACGCCAGGGTTGTGGGTTCGATTCCCACGAGGGGCCAGTATGAAAAAATAAAAAAATAATGTATGCACTCACTAACTGTAAGTCGCTCTGGATAAGAGCGTCTGCTAAATGACTAAAATGTAAATGTAATGTAAAAATGCCTCAAACTGCACCAAGATTATTTCCATCAGTGAAAGAAAGCAAATTACACATCACAGCCTTTAACACACACACACACACATCCTCCCACATGGTTTTAAGAGCTGTAGAGAGGAGAAGAAGACAGATATAGAGGTGGAATGGGGGGAGAGAGACAGAGAGAAGGGATACAGTTGGTGGTATTTAGAATGGGATAGAGAGAGAGAGAGAGATCTATCAACATTAGCATACAGCGCGGGTATGTAGTGATAGAGGGGGAATAGTTGGACAGCAGGCCTTGAACCAGCAATCCTGCAGTTACCTGTACAGGGCAAGCACATTACCTCCTGTGCCATAAGACCTCTGGGCAGATGCACAGAGAGAGAAAAGACAGTGACATTTGCATATGAAACCAGGGTAGTAGCAGACCTTTTGGGCAGAGCACAGCACTGCTGCTGATGAAGCTAGACCAAATAAGAAGTCAGGACCACTCTCCACACACAAACACACATCCCTGTGGTACCAGTTCAGGTAGCAGAACTCAATGGGCCCTGTGTGTGTGTGTGTGTGTGTGTGTGTGTGTGTGTGTGTTCTCCTCTTCTGACACGGGCCCAGTGCTGGTCTGGGATTCTGTGAGGGATTGGGGGACAGTTAAGTGATGAAAGCAGGTACTTGTTACCCTCTGTGGCAGTGAAGCCAGTCCTCATTCCCCACTCCCATCCCCTCCTCCTCCTCACCCACCTAAACTCATACCCGTCCTCCCAAATCAACGCACCCCCTTCTCGCCCCTTCCTAGGTGGTTAAGGATAACTTGTACGTGGAGCTAGTGGTTAGGGAGAACTGCATTTTGGGGACAACACACTCTGTGAAGACTGAAACTAAACACAAGACAACACAACTTAATTACCTTAAATAATATGTCTCATTATCTGATGGCTTACTTCAGGGGTTCACCCGCGACCATTTTCTGATATCAAAACATTTTGTGATCAAAGTGATGTAAATAAAGGCCCATGTTTACTTTTTTAATTGGGGCTATGACAGTGTATTAAAAATCAGTCTGACAGTACTTTTGACAGTATTTGAATCTGAAGGAAGTATTGTTTGAAGTGACTGAAATGCATCAGAAAGGTATTTGGAAGTACAGAAGATCATCAGGCAATCTTTTTGTATGATATTCTGTGTAGAAAAGAACATAGTCATTGATGATGTTCTTTTTGCCCCAGTCTGATTTAGTGTCTGGTCTTGTCCACTCTGTTCTAATGAGTCCTACGTGGCTTGAGGGAAACATTCCGTTTTTTTTGGTGACCAACTTTTTATTTAGTTTGTAGCTTAACCGTTCAAAAGATAGAGCCACATTTGTAGGAAGAAAACAGAAACCACTCTGTTTATTACAACCGCATCTAGCGGCTACCTGAGGTTACTGACGTAACCCCGGTTCTATGAACCAAGAACAATTTGTATTGGATTTTTGATTTTCACTCGCGACCCCATTTTCTTTTCAAATCAGGTGACCCCACATAGGGTCATACCCCTAGTTTGGGAAACGCTGGCCTAATTACATATCTGATGGTTAGCCACAAAGCGCCGGAGGTGTGTGGTGTGGTGTGCGTGGGTGTGTGCGGTAGACAGTAGACACACATGCATCCACATGTTTCTATGTTATTGTGTTCTTCTAGAGTCTAGATCCTAGTGTTCTGGGTCGAGACTTGCCCTATAGAAGTCTCCTCCCACCACAGAGGATTTTTGTGGTGGGTTCCCATGGCAACAAACCACTTGACATCCCAGTTCACTTCCCTAACTCCTAACCACATCTCCCTCTATCCTATCTTAAACAGCTCTGTACTCTTACCAGGATTTATTTACTGCACTGTCCTTATGTACAGGATGGCACTTGTCAAAGAAGCTTAGCATCATGCAGTGACGTTACCTTCCCTTAGACCTGGAGTACTGTCAATGACACACCAGTTCACTCACCTGTGGTGGGGGTTGGGGTTGTGGTGGGGACTGGAGTGTCCGTGGGGGGGTGGGGGGGTGGAGTGGGGGGACGTGGGTCCCCATCATCAGGGGGCTCAGGTGAGCTGACAGGGGGGCTCCTCTCCACATCCATGGGCATAGCACACTGGGGCTGGGGGGAACAGGAGTCAAGCCTGAGACAGAGACACAGAGATATAGTCAGAAAACACACATCCATTCTCAGATGGTACATGTTTTGTCTCTAGTGTTACAAGACAGAGAGGGTTGATCATGCTCAGCAGAGCACCCTCAGCATTGAAACAGAAAAATTAGAAAATCTACCAAACAAACAAAAACTCTAACTTCCATACAGTGTTTGTATCTCATAAATGACCCTTTCCTCAGAATGTTGAAAATGTTTCAGAAACAGTGTATAAAGTGCAGAAGTTGGCCAACATCGAGGGATTCGAGAGTGCCAGCTCAGCTGCATGTACGTGACCACCTCTGCGGGACAGCTGTGCCTCCGCACCCTCACGCTCCTCATGCAACACACATCGCAAGGCCTCTGTCACAGCTCAATATGTAGTACAGCAAGTTAGCCATTCACATAGGCTATTCATATTTCATGTATTGCACTCTCATGGGACACGAATCTCCACTTCTCCTTTCTCATGAGTCATGACTCTCTGGACTCATTCTAGAACTTTCTTGGCCAGAATTGATTTCGCCATGGTCGACAAAAAAACAAGTTCATCTTTTATTCAATGGGCTTCTGCACTTTTAGTCATCTAAACTGGCTTTACACTTTACAGTTACAGTAACATATTATCTCAATGGCATCTGAAATATGTGCTTCCTACAAAGGTGATCTGATAATAAAATCTAAATGCTATCAAACTTTGAATGACTTAAGCTATTTTAAAACATTTAAAGACGTTAGAAAACTTTATGAAGTTGGCAAAGTCCTCAAGTTTTATACAGCTGTGTTAAGCTGAAGGCATCTTCATATTCTGTTTACCTTGTATTACATGCCTGCCCTGGTTTCTCCTAACGAGTCCATGCATGCTCACCCTGAGCCAGCCGACTCAACCCTGTGGGTCCTGTTCAAAGTAAATTTATAATAAAGCAAAAGGCGAGGAGTTGGACAACAACATGTTGAGAACTCCCCAAAACCACTTACTTAGTGTTGGCTGGGAGTGGGACACGGGTCACTCAGTGTTCGCTAATTCATTTTCTGACCCCTTTCCCAGGTAGACTCTCCTCTCCTGCTCCTCTCACTTTCCAGTGATCTCCACTCTTCTGCTCTCCTCTTATCTAACTTTCCCGTCTCGAAATCACCACAACTCTTCTTCTCGTCTTCATAAAGTCCTTAATGGAATAGTTTTAGCGGATTTATCGATGCAAAAGTGGATTTAGGACTTTGTCCGAGAAGGTTTTCTCTCCTTTCAAAGCGAACCCACTCCGCGACACTAGTTCAGTCTGTGCCGTTCCTCCGCCTGTCAGTGCAGTGCATATGTGGGTTCGAGCTCTAAGGGCAGTCCCCAGAACAGTCTTTGTCTCGGGTACAACTTTCTGAGCGCTTACAGAGGTTTGACAGTTACAGCGCAGCTCTTTACAAAGTCCCCAAAAACGTTTCTAAACTTTCCAAACTCCCGATTTGTTGTTGCAGAAAGTTCAGCTTTGAAACTTTGGATATCATCAGCCTTGTCCGTCCTTCATTCACTCCTGTCTTTCTCTCCTTCCCTCTCTCTCTCTCCTCTCAAATGCTTGTCTGGAGACAGCTCCAGTCTGTTAGACAGGAAACTTCAGTCAGCACTGATAACCGCGCTTCCTCCAGGCACAAACCCCTAACCTAGAACCAGAGACTAATACGGGATCTCGGATGATTTCAGATGCGCTACACATTATTATGCATGCCTCAATATGATAACTAGGATTAAGATAGCAATGTTTATTACCGTATTGGGATAATATAGGCCTAGTAGCCCAATTAGCAATGATCAGATATTGTAAATGTGAAATTGCTGGACTATGTAATACAATAGTATATTATGATGTATACACTACATTTTTTATAATAATCATAAATACTCTCATTTTAAATAATGTATCCGAAAAGGCTAGCCTAGGCCTACTTTATGCATGTCAGGACCTCTCATGTTAACAAATTGTTCATGCTAAAAGTGCGTTTAGGTAGGCTACACAAACAATTAATTGTCATTATCATGTATCAAACAGTTGAAATGCCCCATTCCCGCCATTCGCGCTGCCTCATTCTAGCGCAAGGCGAACCTGGCCTGGAAGCGAAACTGATGAGAGTCGTTGGTGTGATTGACGTGTGAAGGATTGGCCGGGGCGCGAAGTAAATTGCAGCGGAAAATCATCTTTAAGAGCTTTCAAACAAAATAGTCTGCATTTTTCAGAGAGAGAGAGGCTTGGAGTTCAACAACACAAGAATGCCCAATCATATTCAATTTGTCTCACAAATAAATCACCCTGTTACTGAATCTTGACACTAGGTCAACTGTAGCCTATCCTTTATCTTATAAAGATGTTTAGGGTGCACAGGTGTCATTTAATCAATAAATCAGTCTCATTATATTGTTAACATATTTCACCCATTTGACGCAACTGAAAACAAAGCAAGCTTTGTAGGGAAAAAAACACTGAGAACGCTAAATATACATGCTTTGGGGTGGCTCTTTTAGAAACAAACTCCCATGACCCTACTAACATTTTGTAGGCCATACTCTGAAAGACCTTGACTAATGTAATGATTGGGTCTGCACAGTGCACACTCAACTGCTCTGGCACAAGCCTTTATTATAGTAACAATTTTTGAGAGCTGACAAACATCTGTTCGGGTCCACACTGTTTTACTAGCCTACAATAAGGTGTGTAGTGGAGAGCTGCAGTTAGCAGTGCACCTAGTCTGGAACCAACAGGTCCCTGAACAGCTTCTACTCCCAAGCCATAAGACTACTAAACAAGACTGCTAAATAGCTAATCATACCCGGACTACCTGCATTGAACCTTTTTTTTCACAAACTGTCTTGCACTGACTCTATGCACACACACTGGACACACATACACTGAGTGTACAAAATATTAGGAACACCTTCATAATATTGAGTTGCACCCCTTTGCCCTCAGAACAGCCTCATTTCGTCGGGGGCATGGACTACAAGGTGTTGAAAGCGTTCCACAGGGATGCTGGCCCATGTTGACTCCAATGCTTCCCACAGTTGTGTCAAGTTGGCTGGATGTCCTTTGGGTGGTGGACCATTCTTGATACACACGGGAAACTGTTGAGCGTGAAAAACCCAGCAGCGTTGCAGCTCTTGACACACGCAAACCAGTGCGCCTGGCACATACTACCATACCCTGTTCAAAGGCACTTAAATATTTTGTCTTGCCGATTCACACTCTGAATGGCATACAAACACAATCCATTTCTCTAATGTTTCAAGGCTTAAAAATCCTTCTTTAACTTGTCGCCTCCCCTTCATCTACACTGATTGGAGTGGATTTAATAGGTGACATCAATAAGGGATCATAGGTTTCACCTGGTCAGTCTATGTCATGGAAAGAACAGGTGTTTCTTCTGTTTTGTACACTCAGTGTATATATACTGACACCCCAACACACACACACACACACACACACACACACACACACACACACACACACACACACACACACACACACACTACATACACCCATACAAACATAACACGCGTACACATGCATACTGATGCCACACACACACTCATACACACACACACTTTCACACTCACCACATACGCTGCTGCTACTGTCTATTATCTATCCTTTGTCTAGTCACTTTACCCCTGCCCATATGTACATACTGTAGCTACCTTAACTACCTCGTACCCCTGCACATCGATTCGGTACTTGTACTCCCTATATATAGCCATGTTATTTTTTACTAATTATTGTTATTCGTTATTCACTGTGTATTTATTAGCATTTCACTGTTAGTATGCACCTGTCGTTTACGAAGCATGTGACAAATAACATTTGATTTGATTTGATTCTACTCTATTATTACACTTCTCTCTGCCCTGCACCTCATGAGTGTTTCCTGAAAACATGACCTGACCAGGTTAAACTCCTGGCGCTACATATAAGTTGCTCCCATACTTCCCTGGTCAAGTCACATGGTCAGGAAATTCTCCTGCCCTTCTCCTGAGATATGATGTGTTGCCATCGGCAGCTCAATAGGCCAGCTCATCATCTGACAGCCAGCCAAATATGGCACTGACCCTAAACATTCCACACCTCTGTCTGCCCGCTCCTATCAAATCACTTTCCAATGGATGAAACATGAAACAGCCCAGAGAGCTGCTATACTGGGTTAAACAGGCACAGCAGGCAAAACAGGATTGGACTGCTTGTACAAATATTTTAACCCAGTATGTTCAAATGCTGGACAGGCCCCATGTCCAGGCAGCCCATAAACTGTAGCCTACTGTACTGTACTACCCTGGGGAAATCTTTCCCATACATTGAAGACTGCAGATTTCTCCTAATGCATATACAGGTAACTGCCTAAAGAAAGGAAACACTTGAGTAAAGAAGGGATACAACGTATATTGAAAGCAGGTGCTTCCACACAGGTGTAGTTCCTGAGTTAATTAAACAATGAACATCCCATCATGCTTAGAGTCATGTATAAAAATGCCCAGTTGCCCATTATTTTGGTTACCGTGGCTAGAAGAAGAAATCTCAGTGACTTTGAAAGAGGGGTCTTAAAGGCGCATAGGGGGTTTAAAGGGTGTGTGTGTGTGTCTCAGTCACCAGATTCCAGTGCAGTTGAACACTTATGGGAGATTCTGGAGTGGCGCCTGAGACAGTGTTTTCCACCACCATCAACAAAACACCAAATTATGGACTTTCTCGTGGAAGAATGGTGTCGCATCCCTCCAATAGAGTTCTAGACACTTGTAGAATCAATGCCAAGGCACATTGAAGCTGTATGTTGGTGTTTCCTTTATTTTGGCAGTTACCTGTAGCTGGGTCTACACAACATATGGTGGGTACTGTTTACTCAGCTCTACTTTAGACAACATAAGGTATGTAAAGGTCTGGCAAACTTATGTTTTAGGGTGAGGTATTGCTCTAAAGACTGAGGATTTCCACCGTGAAAGTCAGTTTGTCTCATCTAGTGGCTGACGCCTGGAATGGGTCTTATTTTTTCAGTACCACAGACAACACAGGAAAATACAACACAACATACACAGAACAACACAACACAACACAGTACAACACACTGACTCTAGCAGGAAGAGAAAGAATAGAGAGAGAGGGATGAAGAGAGGGAAAGGGGAATGGAGAAGGGGGAATTATGGGAGGAGGGAAGGGAAAGGGACAAGTGAGGGAGAGAGAAAGAGAGAGAGAAAGAAAGAAAGAGAGCGAGAGAGAGAGAGAGAAAGAGAGAGGTCAGGTTGAAAGTGAGATTTTGGGAGAGCTAGACGAACTGTTGGCAATGACTGTGTGCGTCTATGTGCTTGTGTATGTGTA